ATATATGACATAAAATGCATTTTTTAAAAACAAAATAAAAAATAAATGAAGATAGGATAAAATGGTTCACAAGACCATTTCAATATGACCTTCGTACACCAAAAAAGTTAAAACCTGTTTTAATCATTAAAAAAATGACTCTCTTTGAATCTCACTGGTGCGTTTAAGGATGTGTGAAGCATAATGGGTATTTTTGCAGTTCAAGAAAGTTTTCTGTTGGTTGTCCAAAATACATTTTAAAATCACAACATTATCAGCAAGAATGAATGTAGCCTATTTGATCCTTACAACTGAACCTACATTATCAAGTTGGTCATTAAATTCAGTTCATCAGCCGCAGCTCTGATGACCCTCAATTACAGCCTCGTCCCTCCCTCTACACCAATCAGATGAAGGCAGTAATTATGGCCAGCAGCTGTGATGGTCTGGAGGTCAAGTATTATACCGTCATATGCGTTGCAGAACGGAGTGTTTTAGAAATGATGTTAGGATTTTAGAGGAGTTTTGGGCACTTTATAGGCTGAAGACTCAGACTAGTTAGACCAGCAAACCACCTAGGCTGGTTAAAAGTGGTCTTTTCATTGAGCTTAATGTTCATCAAAAAATGCCTGAAGAAGTTGGACCGAAGGGTATCCCTGAAGGTATCTCTTCAAAGGTGTTTCTACAAAATTCTTACCCTTAAGCTCTTACTTAATGTCAAATGGAGGTTAATTGTCATTTTTAACACACTGCAGGCCAAGGGGGGGGGGGGGTGTAATGTAGATTCAGGAAGCTGAGGAGCTGACTGGGAAGTACTACTGTAAATTACCAGCAATAAATAAGGCTTGTTTCATTATAATTTCAACTTACAATAACACGACTCTCTATGTTCAGTTAGTTTGTTTTCATGGACTTTCAAATATCCAGTGATCCATGGATATTGACATCCAGCCAGGAAACGTGTTTCCTGACATTTATGTGCCTGATTTCGACACCAGGGAAATACATAAAGCAAATCTGCCTGTGATCACTTTATATAAAAAACAATATAGGTAGGTCAAATCCGGGTGATCACTTATAGGCTATCAGTGTTATATATATATATCATCATATCGTCCAGCCCTTAAACTTGTAGCCTATAGTTTTTGTCAGTGTTTATTTAAAAAAAAAAAAAAACATCAAATTAGGCAAAATATACGATGGTAAATAGTTAAATGATGAGTTGTCGATACAATATATAACAATATACAATATACAATATGTATAGGCTATGATTTTACCCCAAAATTCAGTATATTGAGACAAAATGATAAATGCAAATCCACCTTTCGCTGCCTGGAGTCCAGTTGTTTCTGTGAATTGCAGCGGTCCATTTGCGTCTCTTTTCTGTAGCTTTCAGAAGTCTGTAGAAATATTATACCTCAGATTTCTTGTCAAATATGTTTATACAGTCAATCTCAAAGCTCTTTCCTGTTTTAAATGTTTTGTGTGTTTTTTGCTGCATTCACGCTGAAAACCAATGCTGCCGCTCAGCCTTTTTGCCACTCAGTGTGTGTAAACGCAGTCACTCCGGCCGACGGTGACGTCACTCGCATACCCTCTGTTAATTTCAGGGAAACACACGGCTAAAATAGTTCCAGGCAGGTCTTGACCGCATTACAGTTTCATATTACTCTGCTCCGCGTCATAGCTGCATCACAACCTCGGTTGTGCATTATTTTTTCTAATAATTCAACGGCCCGTCGTCAATTATTCCTTACTTATTCACTATATGCTTTATGTAAAACATCCGCGTTTCACATCATTATTGGGTGCTTTAATAATAGAATTGTGTTTATGTGACATCATTGTGTGATTATGTAAATGGTGAATTGTTTTTTTTAAACGGTTCATTGAAGCGAACTGTCCGAAAGAACAAGTTCGTGGAAAAGAATCGAACTTTCCATTACTAACAGCAAGTTGTTCAACCTCCTGCTTATATCAAATGTATTCTTACATTTACTTTATAATGCTCAGTCTTAACCTAAAAGTCGTACAGAATTATACTAAATGACCTTTTGCTTGATAAAAACGAATAGACTATCAATCAGACGACAGAAGGCATGTTATTGTGTGCAACAGGTTTTTCAGCCGTTTTGATTATTTAGAGGTCTTAAAAATTTGAGTATCAAATATGACACAGAACTTTATAGGGTTAATCAAGAGTCTTAAAGCCTTGAGTAATGAGTGACTATAATCATCAACTTTCACAAATCTGACAGCTTAACATATTTTCACCAGTGACATTATCTATGAATGATTGGTTGAGAATGAGTGAATAATTACTCACAACACATCAGGGTGGTTGTAAATCATTAGTGCTTCACTTTCATGTCTGTTTACTTCAGTTATCCCAGGAATGCATCAATAGCAGCTTCTTCAAAGATGAGTGTGGAATTTGAATGTCTCCTAGCAACCCAGTTCCTCTCAGCCTCCTGTGGCGGACGCTTCTGATGGGCATTGTCCTCTCACACCACAGCCTTCAGGCTCAGAAGAGAGTTTAATCAAACACGCCTGAAGAGAGGGAAAGAGTAAGAGAGGGATACCATCTGTAACATCCATGATATTTCATGTCATTTCATTCGAGCAGGAAATGAAAGATGGCAGAGACATACTGTAGTGCGAATTCAGGCATCGATTGCGTCGCTTTTAAGTAGTCTGTGCTTGCTTTTTAATATTAAAACAGGAAAGTGTGGTTGTGATAACTTTGTCACGCACAGTGATATACCAGCTCGAGTGTTTGTATACACATTTTGATGGAAGTACTGAAAAATAATGGTCCTTCCTTGAGATTATTTCCAAAGTAACACTGCAATGAAATGGCTTAATAAATAAATACTGTTTTATCTATTTCTAACACAAAAAAATATGTCTTATTTATAATGTCACATTTCCCATTTAAACAGGGAAGTTTAACCATCCTAGTTTAGCATTGAGCATTTTCATGTTTTGTTTCATTCTTTTTCAAAAGAATCAGCAATTCTGAAGTTTTTCAGCAATTCTGAAGTTTGCCAACCATATTTTGTTTATTTTGATAAATAATGTATTTTTATTCAGCAAATAAACTAAATTATGACATTAAAATATGTTCCTTTAAAAATACCCCGTTATAAAGCCCCATTGTAACTTACCCGAAAAACTTTCAGCAACTACTCGACGCAAATGCATGCTTTATCCAAATATGAATCTATATTTCATGAGGTAACAGTTGATTCACTCACATCACTCGTCGGTTCAGAGTTTGACAGCAGGTAAGTTAGGCAACATGTAACGTTAACGTTAGGCCTAAACTTGACAGCGGGACTTAGCGGTGGGCTGTGTGGGTTCACTTCACTTCCACATAACCAGTCAGAAATTACGAATTACGTTGCACGAGTCTTCGGTAACTTACACTCGTCTTGAAACGAGCATCGTTGAAAGAACGATAACTTGCGTTAATGTTGGTTCAGTAACGTTACTAACCGCTCTGGCGAATTCCTGAGGTTCATTCTGTGAATGAGTAGACTGGTTCAAACCACCAGTAACTTAAGTGGGGGAAAATAAAATGAATCATGAAAAGAAGCTGCTCAGTCATTTGTTCGTGAATCGAACAAACGTTACACTAAAGTTAACATTGTTTGTTTTTGGCATTCAGCTCGCGAGGATAGGACAAATTGTGTTTTTATTACCACATTCAATACAGCCTTCAAAACTGATTTATATATATATATATATATATATATATATATATATATATATATATATATATATTGTGACGCTGGAGAATTCGCATCGCACACACTGAAAGAATAACGTTACGCGAAAACCAGTAAATCACCGATATATTGCCCACTTCTGAGGTGATTGAAATCGATTTAGTAAAGGTATTCTGAGTACATAAATTTGTGTTAAATTGTTTAATTTATATTATTATTAATAATAATAATAATATAATTATATATATATAATTCGAGAATAGCTTGTTTTCATATGACGTCACGCCACTGCGTTGCCATGGCGCGAAATGCAAATGGAGGGCAGGAAGTGATTTGCTGTATTTAGAAAGCACTATAACAAACTCAAAATGCCTATGTTTTGCGTCGTTTATGGTTTCTTAAATCGATCAAACCACGATGAGTTTTTATCGTGTACCAAAAGTTGTTGTTCATAAGGGGGGAAAATGCAAGAAATTGACCGAAAAACTCCGGAAAAACGGCTTGCAAACCTACGTCTGCGGTCGGGAGGAGCCGAATGGGAAAATACCCGTGTGTGCAGTGATCACTTCGTCAAAGGTGAGTTAATGCAACTTAAGTGGCTATGTTTGTGTAACGTTTCCGAACTTTGTAAAGTCAAAGTATGTCTGTAAGACGAGGTAGTTGCTGATATCTACCGCCTCGATAGCAGGAAAATCTTTAAATTCAGTTGAAAAATCGCTCCTCTTCATAACGTAAGGATCACGTCCAACATATGTTTGATTTTTTGTTTATTTCTTTCTCTTGTAATAGCGTGTAAAGTAGTACAGTACGGACTTTCCTCCATCTCGTCCATTGCGCTCTTCACTCCCTGCCCTCCATCTGAATTTCGCGCGTCATCATAATCACGTGACTGAAACCCAGCTATAAGCAAAAACAAACCGTTGAGCCCACTGCGATTGCCAAACAATCTGTTTCTATGGCAACCATGGCTGCGCGTCATCGAGTTCGATTACGTCACAGACAGCAGACTATAAAGACTCGCTTGCAGTCACTGCAGTTGAGCGATATTCCGGTCAGAAGCAAGTTATATACCTATACATAACAGCAGAAACCTACCGATACAAACTTTAGAAACACTGCAATAAGACGTCATTCTTTACAAACAGAGTCTATTCTCAGCGTGTAGCCTACATACTCGGTTGATAGACTCAAACTGTACAGAGTCACGCACAGTGTGTAACTGTCGCATACAGTTTGACAACTGTAAGTTACGTCTTTGATTTGTCGGCATTATATACCAAAATCGCAATGTCTACAAGCTTCAGAGATGTGAGTCTGGAGATTTACGTCAACGGCGTGTTCCATAGCAGTAAGAGTTTCCAGATATCAGCAGAGGAAGATGCGGAGGTGGAGTTTAGGGTCACCGATGCCATCTACGACATTTTCGGTAGCTCGGCAGTGATCAATTCCCAGGTGGAGGTTGATACACCTGAGGACATGCCAGTCAGTTCCAGTGTTTTAGAGGGGGGCGCTGTGCAGGATGGCTTTGATGTGAAGGACTCAACCTCAGCTAGTGTTGAGAGAGATGGGCAGCTGGAGAATGACGCCAAAAATGTCTTCTCAGTGTTGGTGTCACCAACAGAAGTGGCAGGGAGCAGCAGCGGGATCGACGCTTCTCCTGAAACCCCTGAGAACAGCCCAACAGGTTAACATGACCACTGATAAATTTTCTATATATTCAGGGCAGGGGCACGGGGAGTGGGGAACTTTTCATAGGATTGTAAACGCAACGAAAACCGATTTAATTTATATTTATTACATACATTTTTAGCATTAGTAATTTATTTGTAATAAACACTTTAAGTGGGCTATCAAAAAGTGTCATCGAAATGTTGAATTATGTTTTTTAAAAAGTGCGCGCAGTGTGTGACGTCATATGTGTGACCCTTGCAGACGTCTGCCTTTTGAGAATTGTAAGGTGTTAATATTGTTTAACATTAATATAGTTTGTTCGATGCTTATTTTGTATGTAAATTTGTTTATTTTTCAATTAAAATAAAACAAACTCCTGAGCGCTTCAAAAATGACGTCATCGCGGTGTGCGGGTTGAGTGCGCGTGCACGCCATTTTTTGTAACTTATCGCGCGGCTCCGCTTCCGAAGATGCACGACTTCGAGGCAAATCTGGCCGAGCATGTCTCATCACACCAGCACCCAGTTTGCGAATGTCTAAATTAGTTGATCACATTTACAAAATGAGCCTAAAATAGAATAAGCCTTTTTAATGAAAGGTCCAAGTTCATTCAATTTAGTTGTATGCATACGTTCTCATATCCATTTATCCATTATTTATCGACTCCGCAGGGCCTTCTAATTTGGATCTGGCTGATTCAGATGAATCGTGTGTCCCAGGTCCAAGAGTTTCTGAGCAGGAAACTCAAGTGGATCTGGTTGATCTAGAGGAGTCCAGTGTCTCAGGTCTAAACCGTTCTGAGCCAGAACCAGTGTCCTCTGAAGGTCAGGAAGTTGAAGTCAGGGATGCCATCTCAGATCTGAAGAGCCCTACTCTGGTGTGTGACGATCTGAGCGACTCCGCAGGGCCTTCAGGGAGAACCAGCGGGATCGATCAGGGTGGCATGGATGCTTCTCCTGAAACCCCTGTAAAGATCAGCCCAAAAGGTGAATGTCAACAGAGCATTTGAGATGCAACATTACAATGGCTATGTACACTCTGTAAAGTTTTAGTGGTGACTGACAACCACATTTAAATGCAGGAGCGAGTCCACTAAATTATCACGACTCCTGCAGTGTTGCCATATGCTTTTATTATAAGCGTTTTTGTTTAAGCTTGGCTCACACAGCGATCGAATATGGCGTTATTAAAGTGAGCAGGTGCGGGTCACAGTATTTAATTTATTTCGCTTTTGTATGGGCTTGTTCACCGATTTGCTTGCAATGTCTAACAACAACAAAAATGAGTCAAGGCTCATACCACTGTCTTGCACCGCACATAAAGACGAGATACACATCTGTCATCTCTCATATCTCTCGTCGTACATCATTGACAACTAGTTGTCCAGTTCGGTTCCGTACACACTGTAGAATTTTTGTAAATGCAGTTGTCACACACTGAACTGTGTGTGTACAGAACAAATGAGATGCAAACAGAAATGTCTTTCAAGTTGGACTAATTATTCATTTTTAATCTGTGGTTAGTGATGTTTCTAATAACATATTTGTTTTCTTCTTATTTTTAGAAAGTACTAAAGTGAGGAAGAAGGGAAAAATTGGGGTATTCTTCCAAAAGCTTTTTAGGATTGATCCGGCTGTTCCAGAGACCTTGTGTCTCCCAGATGCAAGCGTTCCTGAGCCGGAACCTGAATTAGATTTGGTCGATCCCAAGGAATCGTGTGTCCCGTTTCCAAGCAATCCTGAGCCAGAACCTGAATTGGATCTGGTCGATCCCAAGGAATCGTGTGTCCCGTTTCCAAGCAATCCTGAGCCAGAACCTGAATTGGATCTGGTCGATCCCAAGGAATCGTGTGTCCCGTTTCCAAGCAATCCTGAGTCGAAATCTAATTTGGATCTGGCTGATTCAGATGAATCGTGTGTCCCAGGTCCAAGAGTTTCTGAGCAGGAAACTCAAGTGGATCTGGTTGATCTAGAGGAGTCCAGTGTCTCAGGTCTAAACCGTTCTGAGCCAGAACCAGTGTCCTCTGAAGGTCAGGAAGTTGAAGTCAGGGATGCCATCTCAGATCTGAAGAGCCCTACTCTGGTGTGTGACGATCTGAGCGACTCCGCAGGGCCTTCAGGGAGAACCAGCGGGATCGATCAGGGTGGCATGGATGCTTCTCCTGAAACCCCTGTAAAGATCAGCCCAAAAGGTGAATGTCAACAGAGCATTTGAGATGCAACATTACAATGGCTATGTACACTCTGTAAAGTTTTAGGGGTGACAACCACATTTAAATGCAGGAGCGAGTCCACTAAATTATCACGACTCCTGCAGTGTTGCTATATGCTTTTATTATAAGCGTTTTTGTTTAAGCTTGGCTCACACAGCGATCGAATATGGCGTTATTAAAGTGAGCAGGTGCGGGTCACAGTATTTAATTTATTTCGCTTTTGTATGGGCTTGTTCACCGATTTGCTTGCAATGTCTAACAACAAGAATGAGTCAAGGCTCATACCACTGTCTTGCACCGCACATAAAGACGAGATACACATCTGTCATATCTCTAGTCGTACATCATTAACAACTAGTTGTCCAGTTCGGTTCCGTACACACTGTGTAGAATTTTTGTAATTGCAGTTGTCACACACTGAACTGTGTGTGGAACAAATGAGATGCAAACAGAAATGTCTTTCAAGTTGGACTAATTATTCATTTTTAATCTGTGGTTAGTGATGTTTCTAATAACATATTTGTTTTCTTCTTTTTTTAGAAAGTACTAAAGTGAGGAAGAAGGGAAAAATTGGGGCATTCTTCCAAAAGCTTTTTAGGATTGATCCGGCTGTTCCAGAGACCTTGTGTCTCCCAGATGCAAGCGTTCCTGAGCCGGAACCTGAATTAGATTTGGTCGATCCCAAGGAATCGTGTGTCCCGTTTCCAAGCAATCCTGAGCCGGAACCTGAATTGGATCTGGTCGATCCCAAGGAATCGTGTGTCCCGTTTCCAAGCAATCCTGAGCCGGAACCTGAATTGGATCTGGTCGATCCCAAGGAATCGTGTGTCCCGTTTCCAAGCAATCCTGAGCCGGAACCTGAATTGGATCTGGTCGATCCCAAGGAATCGTGTGTCCTGGTTCCAAGCAATCCTGAGCCAGAACCTGAATTGGATCTGGTCGATCCCAAGGAATCGTGTGTCCCGTTTCCAAGCAATCCTGAGCCGGAACCTGAATTCGATCTGGTCGATCCCAAGGAATCGTGTGTCCCGTTACCAAGCAATCCTGAGCCGGAACCTGAATTGGATCTGTTCGATCCCAAGGAATCGTGTGTCCCGGTTCCAAGCGTTCCTGAGTCGAAATCTAATTTGGATCTGGCTGATTCAGATGAATCGTGTGTCCCAGGTCCAAGCGTTCCTGAGATGGATTCTGAATCGGATCTGTCCGATTCATATGAATCGTGTGTTGCAGGTCCAAGCTTTCTTGAGATGGATTCTGAATCGGATCTGTCCGATTCATATGAATCGTGTGTTTCAGGTCCAAGCTTTCCTGAGATGGATTCTGAATCGGATCTGTCCGATTCATATGAATCGTGTGTTTCAGGTCCAAGCTTTCCTGAGATGGATTCTGAATCGGATCTGTCCGATTCAGATGAATCGTGTGTTGCAGGTCCAAGCTTTCCTGAGATGGATTTCGAATGGGATCTGTCCGATTCAGATGAATCGTGTGTTGCAGGTCCAAGCGTTCCTTATGCATGCACTTCCGAGCAGGAACTAGTTCAAGAAGAAACTGGTTTCCGATTGGAGGAGCGTGTGAAGGGCTGTACAAAGCATCTGAAATCTGTCACAGAGGTCTGGAACAACATCTTCATTGGAAATCAGTAAGTCTACAACACATTTAGACTAATATAAACCATGTGATTAATAATGTAATGCAGGATTACATGCATTTCTACATTGTAATTGTTGTGTTGTTGTGCAGAGAGATAGCAGAGGACCGAATGATACTGAAGGAGCTGGGTATTACTCACATCCTCAATGCTGCTGCTGTGAAGAAGAAGCTGAGGGTCATGTTGGGAGTCCCATGGGAGCAAGACCTGAGAGAAGCAGTTAATACAGGGGCGAAATACTACAGAGGCATGAACATCACTTATTGTGGCTTGCCTACAACGCACAGTTCCAACATCAGCAAGTACTTCTTGCCAGCTGCCAAATTCATCCACAAGGCCAGGAAAAACCCAGAAAGTAAGATCTTTTATCAAGTGTTCTGGAGTGTCAAACTGTTTGGGACTTTTCTGACTGTCTTTCTGATTTTATTTCAACAGATAAGGTGTTCATTCACTGCACTGAGGGTGTCAGCTACGCCCCTACTCTTTTTCTGGCATACCTCATGATCCACCATTACATGACAGCGGAGGAAGCCATTGATTATCTCATACAGGTAAGATACATCAAGCCTGACGTAGACTTCCTGAAGCAGCTGGAAATCCTCAATGAGGAACTTAAGCACAATACAGCTACAACATATAGAAGGGAAAACAACATCTGGATAAAGAAGCTGGCAGCCAAAATACTGCAAAAAAAGTGCTGCAGGACACAGATTAAGAAGTGTGGACGGATTAAGAGAAAATGCGCACTTTTTAGATCTTTTTATCGCACATATTAAAAAAGTGCAACCTTAAACCTTTTCAATAAAAATATTACAATTTGAGATGCAGTGTTGTCAGTGTTCACATCACTTCTTAATCTGCTTGTGGTGTGCGTTTGATATGACACTCGTCTTCACATTAATGTCTTTTTCTAAAAACAAATACCAAACTTTTTAGAAACCAGTTTTCCGAAGAGGAAAAGTGAGAGAATTGTACAGAAGCGTATTGCATTCACTTGAGGAAAAAAAAAATCTACTCTGTTTTTCTGAATTAACGAGTTAATTATCTCAGAATTACGAGAGAATTTTTCATGGAAAAAAGTTTTTGCTCTGTTTTTCTGAATTAATGACTTAATTATCTCAAAATTATGAGTAATTCAGAAAAACAGAGTTGATTTTTTTTTTCTGCAATACGCTTCCGTACAATTGGTTGGTTGGTGACATCTGGTTTTAATGGCAGCAGTTTCCTGGGGGTATTCCAGAAAGCAAGGTTAACTTACCATAACATAATACCCTGAACTATAAGTTGATAAGGAGGGTCACTGGATTATGGTGGATCAAATTAATGTAATTACATCTTGATTAATGTTTATGGTTACACTAACAAGTTATGTTATTAAGTTGACTGGAAGAACACATATTTTACAGACAAAATTATTATGATTTTAACTCTGTTCCAGATGAATGGCAGGATAGATACCCCATTCCTTTCAACACTTTTTCCTTTAACCCCCTGATTAATAATATATCCCAGTTTCTTGGCGTGTAAAGAACCCACATTAAAAAAATAATCATTTTCAGGGCGCATTCAACATTCTACATTGGATTTTTGGTTGATAACTAGTACTCTTCTTTCTTCCCCATTTGACTGTAATATTTCTCCTTCAGTTTCACCTGATCACAGTGCCATATCACTCTCTCAATGGCAGCTCACCGCCTACCAGAACTCATGAGAAGTTTAACAATAATACGTTCAAATGTGAATCCTTTTGTAATTCTGTTCTGTTGATGATTAACAATGTTAAAACTATGTCTGAATTAAACTTCAATTGGCAAATGGGATTGGGTTAAATTTAGCATTAAAATATTGGCAATTAAAGAAAAACGAATTGTAATTGTTAGAAAATTAAGGCAGATAACAATTATAATTATTTAGGCAATAAAGACATCCTTTGTGTGTGTGAGAGAGAACTTCACTTTCTTCAATCAGAGCTGGATGATTTTTATACAGAAAAGACTAAAGGAGCGTTTATACGATCTAGAGCCAGGTGGATTGAGGAGGGGGAAAACAATTCTTTATATTTCTTTGTATATTTCTTTAACTTAGAAAAAAGACAAACAAGCCTTAGGCTACCTATTAATACACTTAGCATCAATAACTATATAGGTGAAGAGAAAACACTGATTAACTGGTATGGTATGGTAATTTATTTATATAGCACGATTAAATACAATTTACATTGTCCAATGTGCTTTGCAATATTCATAAAAACAAACAACAATACAACAACAGTACAGGTATATGATGATTAGATTCATTCCTTCTATAATGATTTTTATAAATCAAAATATACAGAGAGAGACGTGATCTTTACTTTTCCTTCTTAAAAGATAAAGTTCATATTATAGACTTATATAAATATGATGGAAGCTGACATTGAGATTTCAGAATTAGACATTGCTATTAAACAAATGTCCAATGGAAAGTCTCCAGGTACTGATGACATCACAGTAGAACTATATAAAAAAGAAATTGGCCTGAAATTAGAATCTTGAAGCACTAAAAGAGCGTATAGATAAAGCTGAATTATGGCCATCAATGAAGCATGGTTTAATTATTCTAGTTCCAAAGTCGAACAAGGATAAATTATATTTAGACAACAACTCTTTTACGTAACGATTTCAAATCGCTTTCTCGTGTTTTTGCAAATCGACTTTAAAAAGGCATTTGTGAAATTATCAGTGAAACACAATCAGCTTTTATCAAAGGGAGACGTATTGTAATTATTTAATTATAAAATAAAAGCTTATACTTTTATTTCAGACTTCTTTGAGGCGTTTGATACCCTCGAACACCCTTTTCTGTTTAAGTCTTTAGTATTTTTGTTTGGCTTTGGTCCAATACTTTGTAGAGTAATTTCCATGTTCTATAGTGAGATTTTTAGAAGTGTTTCCCGTTCTTCACCCAGAATTCAAATTAAACGAGGAAACCGACAGGGATGCCTTATTTCACCATTACTTTTTAATCTTGCAGTCGAATTAATGTCTCTATTCATAACAAATGAACAAAAAAATCCCCTCACAACTCCACTCTTTGGAATAATAGGCCTGTAGTTATTAATAGGAAATCTCTGTTTAAAATCTGTTTGTATTTTATTCATGATCTATTAGATGATAATGGGTGTTTCTTATCTCATAATGATTTTAATAATACATATAGAGTTAGAATTACAATAAATAATATTATAAGGTACGAAGAACTTAAACGTATCACTGGTGATTATCAGTGTTATTTTCTTTTACATATGATGGCATGGCATGGTTTCTCCAAAGGTCAAGGAGACTCATTAAAATATTATGTTTAAGATTTACCCAGTTAGTGATTTTATACAGAAACTATTTCATTTCGAGGTGGATCCTTGTGGCTTTTGTTCTTCTCTTCCTGAAACACTGTCACCTATTCTTTTACTGGGAGGTTACTTCTCATTTTTGGGCTGATATGCATAGCTGGTTCTCAGTAAAAATTCCTCCTATAATTTTTGTTTAAGTGTGATTTTAATTCACCCTTCTCTGATGTAGTAGATTTTGTTTATTGATGGGTAAATACCAAATCCATCCTTGTAAATGGGGAAAAAAATGAGTTTGTCAAAATGTTTCAGAGCTTCTAAAAAAGCTATGTGTTTCTCTTTGTCTGTATTTTTTTTTTATTATGCTTGCAAACAATACAAAGATGACAATCATGGTATACAATTTTGTAACAAAATTGCAAACATGTCTGTACAAATATAACAATAAAATGTACAATGTCATCTGAACATACAGAATAAAGGAAGTTAGCAATGTATAACTGACTAAAGAAAAAGGAAAAAAAGAGCAATAGATGATAGAAAAAAACAATAAATAAAGTAAATAATAAAAAAAAGGAGATGAGGGTAAGATATTATTTTATACATCATTAGTGTACACAAATTAAATTACAATTTAAAATTGTTTTAATTGCTTTCTTGTTTACTGAGGATGAAATAGTGTTAAGGTACATTTTAAATTCTTTAAAAAAAAAAAAAAGTGGTTTGTTGTTGGTTAATTTACATGTATGGATATAAAATTTGCCAATAAAATTTAGCAACAAAGCAGGCTTTAGTGGGGTCAGAATCAAAGTATCAACAAATAATGTCTTTAAAGGTTACTGATATATCTTGCTGGATATTATCTTTAATATATATGTCAATATTTGTCCATAGTAGTTTGGTATAGAAACCATAGAAACACGACCAGTCTTTATTGTTGTTTTGTCTTCACCTCCTACGCGTCGATGACGTCACGACGCCACTTCCGCAATACCGGTAAACGAAAGTGTTCAGTCTGTTCATGTGGTTCGAGTTCGGTTAAGTTTTTCTGCCTGTCAGTCGCGAATCAAAGATGTCTAAACCGAAATTAATAGTGTTCGACCTCGGTAAGTTTTCACAGTTAATTTTTAGCGTTTTACTTCAGAATAACTGTATGGTTTTATAAGCCTCAGTAAATGAGAGGATAAATACACTTGACTTCCTTATTTGATCTTTCATATTGTAAACACCACAGAATATTTTTGAGGACACCCGTGGCTGATACCAAATAAGTTTTACTGTAACAATAGCTGTACTATGTTTTTTTTTTTTTGTATCTATGTGTAGAGAGAGAGAGAGAGAGAGAAATATTATTAGAAATAAAATACTTTTATAGTGTACAATGCCGTTCAAAATTTTGGGAGGGGTAAGTTTTTTTAATGTTGTTAAAAGCCAAAGTCTCTTATGCTTACCAAGGCTGCATTTATTTTATTCTTTTAAATTATAATAATATTTTACAATATTACTGTTTTTACTGTATTTTTAATTAAATAAATGTAGCGTTGGTGATCAGAAGAGACTTCTTTTAAAAACATAAAAAATCTTACCGATCCCAAACTTTTGAACGGCATTGTGTGTGTGTGTGTGTGTGTGTGTGTGTATATATACATTTTATTTATTTTATTTTTCAGATTTCACCCTCTGGCCATTATATTCTGATGCTCATGTTGATCCACCTTTCCACATCGATGACAGGTTTGTGTTCAGCTATAGTGTTCATTCATTGTTTGTTGTTTTGATGTAAAGATGTTTACCCAGTTGTTTTTGCTGTTGTTTCTTTGCTGACACTCTGACTCGTTTCCAGCGGAGTGGTGCGAGATTCAAGATTTGCCTTTGTTCCCGTTTATCAAGATACTGAAAAGATCCTGAGCTCACTCCATAGTCAGGGATTCAAGATCGCCATTGCATCACGGTAAGATTTGAAATCAGAAAATATCATCTGATCTATATATATATATACTGTATATACAGTAGTCAACATTTGAAGTGGATCAAAACCTTTCATCAAAGTTATACATGAATTTTGAGAATACCCGTTCATGTCTTAGGACAACTTTGATGAACTTTTTTGATCCACTTCAAACGTTGACTATATATATATCAAAGCTGTGGTCTTTCTCTGTTTCTCAAAGATCCACTGATCCAGAAGGAGCCAATCAGCTGCTGTCACTCTATAATTTCAACCAATACATCTCCTTCAAAGAGATCTACCCTGGGTCAAAGGTCACTCACTTTAAGAGGTATAGGATGAGCTCGGGATCTTCGGACGACTGAGGAGATTGTAGCTTTGAATTTAATATCTAAATTTCTATAATTCATTTTTAAAAAAAGTGCTGGAGCGTGTTCTTGCGATTGATTCTGCGAGAGTGAGGGCGGGGCCTTGATTTCGCAGCTTTACTTCCGGCTCACGACTGCGCATGTCTGGTCCCGAGATCGCTTCTGTGCAGACTCAAGTCCCAAGATGTCAGCGCCATATCGGGACACTGGCGGCTTCACTTCTGACCAATGGAAGAGAGCGAAGGGGCGTCGTCCATCTTTTTTTACAGTCTATGGGTGGATAGGATGAGCTCTTTTTCCCCCTAGCAACCACATAGCAACGCTGGAAAACAATCAGAACACGAGTAAACCCATAGCAATGCCATCAATCATTGTGTGTGTGTGTGTGAGAGCGTGCTACCTTAGACCGTCTGACGACTGTTGTTCTGTCTCCAGGCTGAAAGCTGACAGCGGCGTCCAGTTTTCTGACATGATGTTCTTTGATGATGAGAGTAGGAACATCATGGAGGTGGGCAGGCTGGGTAGGTCTCGCTCTCGGCTCATTCTCCGACTCAAACCTTTATAGAGAGATGGAGACTGTTGGTTGGGTTGAATCACCAGCTGTTTCCCGCTCTTTCAGGGGTTCACTGCGTGTTGGTTCGTGATGAGATGACCTCTGATCTAGTCCATAAAGCACTGGAGCAGTTCAGCAAGAAGTAGTGACGGCGTCTGGTCCCGCAGAGAAGCAGCGGCTGCCAATCAAGAACAATCCCAAAAACTGACTGGTAGAGAGAACTAGGACTGTCGTGTTCAGTGGTTCTGTCTGTGTAATCAACTGTTCAATGTTTTTAAATTATTTGTATAGGTGTAACTTGCAAAGTAGGACGGGTGGGACATGTCCCCACCACTTTTTAAAACATCTCGCGGGACGGGTGTATCTAACACAAATAGATAAAACATCTCCGGTTAACCAGCAGCAGAGCATTCATTTAGTTCGTTTGTTAAAGTTATACCACAAGACTACTGAAGTACATACACAAATTTTGCAGATCTAGAAATTCATTCACGTGACAATATATTAGTACTAACAATATATTAGTAGATCTCATTAAACGACCAATTTAACCCAATGCAATGTACTATTGAAGTTTATTTCTGGACATTGTAATGTTATTTTTTTGTAAATATATCTGATTTAGCAACCCACACACACATCTGTCCCACCCACTTTTTTAAACAAAGTTAAGCCACTGGAATTACATACAGCAGATAATACTGTCTGGAAGGTATAGCCGCTTTAAACTTTAATAACATTTTATCGCTCTGTGGCGGTTTGTGTGTTTTGCTGAATAATTTAGCGTCAGGAGCAACAGCGGGCCACATCGCTAAAGGTCTAAAAGCCCGCTGGCCTCCTTTTCCTCTAATTTAACGCTATTCCGGCTCCGGGTATATTAATGGCGGTGTGCCTTTGCCTCTCTTCTGAATAAGTGATTCTGTCTCGCTGACAACCTGTTTAGATAAAAGCAGAAAGTGCTGCACATCACACAGTTGAAGAGACAGACGGAAAGATGCACTTGATCTGGATTTCTCATCCTGAGGTCTGAAGCCTAAAGCGTGCTTCTTCCTCTCTTTCTTCTCCTCCGTCTCGTGCAGAAAGCGAAGTGACAGTGCAATGAATGTGATGTGAGCTTTAGCATTCCCCGACGAACATCACAGCGTCTCCGTGTCAGATGAGGACTGTAGTTGGGAAGTTTGCGGTGTGTCTGTCGTGTGATGCTAAATCTTAAAATTATTTTAATAATTCACGCCGTCTTAAAAATGTATGCAGTGGATTATAATTACGGACTGGAAACAATGTATATTTAAAGGTTTCAATGAACCGCTAAATGAAATCCTTTGCGTATGATAAATGTTTAAAAACGTGTTTGAGTTGAGTCATATTAATGGCTTTTGAAAGAAACAGTTCATTTTAATAAGCGTTTCTATTCTCAATGCATTAAAGATACACAAGCTGGAGTCCTGGGAATTATTCTGATTTATCAATTTTATGATTTCATATCAGATACATGCAGGGACCTTTTAATATTCCTCATTAAAACACCAAGTCTCGTTATTGTAATGCACCGCCCATTATAAGCACTTAAAATACAAAAATAAGCATTATGTGACTATGAATATGACGGAGCCCCTACAGGGACAAATACATTTTGTATTCCCTCACAAAATGTTTCCATTCGCCCAAGAAACTTTGTGTTCACTCGCAAAAGCAAACTTAAAGTTTCTCAGGGGAACGCAAAAGTTTTGAAATATATTTTTTTAATTCTATGATAATTGACAGATTGAACATGGAAGATATAATTAACCAAAACATGCGTTCAAATTAAAATGCTATGCCATGAAGCTACTGTAGAACCTGTTACTACGATGACTGATATAAATGTGCGCCGGTCAAAAGTTATCATTCATAATTAAACAATTATCTTATAGGTGGATCTCACACATTCCATTCAGTTATGTGATTCACAGCACCCAACCCAAAGAAAAACAGGTTTTATTGTTAAATCAAAACATATGCTTGAGTGCAGTCAGTGACACTTTCACTCCTCCTAAATATATGAATTTATAATCTGAAGTTTATGTGCAATACTTTTTTGTGGAATAAATTGCTTTCAAATCTTATTAACAGTGTTATTTTAGTATTGTTGAGTTTTTTTAATGTTTTTAATTAGTTTTGAATTAGCCTAGTAATATGGAATTGCTGCTTTCATTTTAATTTTACTTAAGTTTTAGTCATTTTGTTGTATTTTGGAAATTTTATTTTTATTTCAATTAACATTTATTTTAACTAACAACATATATATATATATATATATATACATACAGTGTAGTTAACTATAATAACCCTGCTTTAATACTTGCACGTATTCAAGGATCTGCATCAAACATTACTCCAGGTCAAACATTACTGTTTTTTGTGCATCGAATTTGTGCTAATTTTGAATATGAATAAGCCCAAATTATATTTCAGATGCAAACATTTTCAGTTAATAATGACTTGCAGTTCAATCTGTTCATCACAATGACTTCACAAGATTTAATCACAATGCAATCACAATGATGTGATTGCAATCTGCAAGCAATCACATCATTACAGCATGGCACAAGCTGATTGGCCTCTGCTCATCCTGCAGCCAATGAGATTGCTTGCTCAACATTTAAATAGTCTGGTTCATTGTTTGCTGTAAGCTGGTCCTGTAGAGTTCCTCTGAACCCCTCCACCTCCCCCAGCTCCACCTGTCTAGATCTGCTACAGGATTTATATGTCTATTCATGCAGCAGCAGCATTTATTACATGTTTACAGCAGCGAGTGTATATATAAATCCATATTGCTCTGCGGCAGCATCAGTGTATCAGATCTAGTTCACCCAGACCAAATACATTAACATTGCCATATTCAATAACATGCTAAAACTATTCAGACAGTTGTCATATGGACTACTTTTATAATGCTTGTGTGGTGCATTTTGTCCGTCTGAGAGCCTGATCACTGCAAACTTTCACTGCATGGAAAAGAGCAGCGTGAACATCCCCTGAGACGAGAGATTTATGTATTTTTTTGTCTGGAAAAATCCTCCGATGACGCAAAAATCATCATTTTCGGAGGATTTTCTGGCCAGAGGCTAAAGCTTACAGTCAGTAGGGGCTGTCCCGCATGTTCTCAACCCGCCCATAGAGGGTGGGATCTCACTCACAGAATGTACACAGTGTCAGCCATCTTTTTTTGGAAGCTAAGCTAGCAGGCTCTTGTTCTGTGGAGAAAGCTGAGTAGTAGGGGTTACCATCCTCTTTTTCCCGGACATGTCCGGCCGTCGATGTCCGGAATTCAGCTTTTGCTTTCTGCAGTCGCCATTCATTGTTTACATGCACACCTTTTGTTTCAATCTAACTGAATTCATTCCGATTGGTGAATCTGAATGTAGTGTTTACATAAACGCTAAACAAGTGATCGGTTGATGTGCGTTTTAACATTGCTAAGAAAATTCCCGCTCCTCTGTGAGAGATACGAGACCGGTGCGTCTCACAGGTGTCGCTCATCGGTAATCACGCCACCGGCCTCGCGCCGTTCTCCCGCGGCCCTAGCCTCGTCCTGCTCGCCACAGTAAACATGACTCGTGTCGTTCTCCCGCGGCCCTCACTTGTCCTGCTCGCTACTGTAAACATGACTCGTGTCGTTCTCCCGCGGCCCTCACTCGTCCTGCTCGCTACTGTAAACATGACTCGTGTCGTTCTCCCGCGGCCCTCACTCGTCCTGCTCGCCACAGTAAACATGACTCGTGTCGTTCTCCCGCAGCCCTCACTCGTCCTGCTCGCCACAGTAAACATGACTCGTGTCGTTCTCCCGCGGCCCTCACTCGTCCTGCTCGCCACAGTAAACATGACTCGTGTCGTTCTCCCGCGGCCCTCACTCGTCCTGCTCGCTACTGTAAACATGACTCGTGTCGTTCTCCCGCAGCCCTCACTCGTCCTGCTCGCCACAGTAAACATGACTCGCGCCGTTCTCCCGCGGCCCTCACTCGTCCTGCTCGCTACTGTAAACATGACTCGTGTCGTTCTCCCGCGGCCCTCACTCGTCCTGCTCGCCACAGTAAACATGACTCGTGTCGTTCTCCCGCGGCCCTCACTCGTCCTGCTCGCCACAGTAAACATGACTCGTGTCGTTCTCCCGCGGCCCTCACTCGTCCTGCTCGCCACAGTAAACATGACTCGTGTCGTTCTCCCGCGGCCCTCACTCGTCCTGCTCGCCACAGTAAACATGACTCGTGTCGTTCTCCCGCGGCCCTCACTCGTCCTGCTCGCCACAGTAAACATGACTCGTGTCGTTCTCCCGCGGCCCTCACTCGTCCTGCTCGCCACAGTAAACATGACTCGTGTCGTTCTCCCGCGGCCCTCACTCGTCCTGCTCGCCACAGTAAACATGACTCGCGGCGTTCTCCCGCGGCCCTCACTCGTCCTGCTCGCCACAGTAAACATGACTCGTGTCGTTCTCCCGCGGCCCTCACTCGTCCTGCTCGCCACAGTAAACATGACTCGTGTCGTTCTCCCACTGCCCTCGCTCGTCCTGCTCGCCACAGTAAACATGACTCGTGTCGTTCTCCCGCGGCCCTCACTCGTCCTGCTCGCCACAGTAAACATGACTCGTGTCGTTCTCCCGCGGCCCTCACTCGTCCTGCTCGCCACAGTAAACATGACTCGTGTCGTTCTCCCGCGGCCCTCACTCGTCCTGCTCGCCACAGTAAACATGACTCGTGCCGTTCTCCCGCGGCCCTCACTCGTCCTGCTCGCCACAGTAAACATGACTCGTGTCGTTCTCCCGCGGCCCTCACTCGTCCTGCTCGCCACAGTAAACATGACTCGTGTCGTTCTCCCGCGGCCCTCACTTGCCTGCTCGCCACAGTAAACATGACTTGTGTCGTTCTCCCGCGGCCCTCACTCGTCCTGCTCGCCACAGTAAACATGACTCGTGTCGTTCTCCCGCGGCCCTCACTCGTCCTGCTCGCCACAGTAAACATGACTTGTGTCGTTCTCCCGCGGCCCTCACTCGTCCTGCTCGCCACAGTAAACATGACTCGTGTCGTTCTCCCGCGGCCCTCACTCGTCCTGCTCGCTACTGTAAACATGACTCGTGTCGTTCTCCCGCGGCCCTCACTCGTCCTGCTCGCCACAGTAAACATGACTCGTGTCGTTCTCCCGCGGCCCTCACTCGTCCTGCTCGCCACAGTAAACATGACTCGTGTCGTTCTCCCGCAGCCCTCACTCGTCCTGCTCGCCACAGTAAACATGACTCGTGTCGTTCTCCCGCGGCCCTCACTCGTCCTGCTCGCCACAGTAAACATGACTCGTGTCGTTCTCCCGCGGCCCTCACTCGTCCTGCTCGCCACAGTAAACATGACTCGTGTCGTTCTCCCGCGGCCCTCACTCGTCCTGCTCGCCACAGTAAACATGACTCGTGTCGTTCTCCCGCGGCCCTCACTCGTCCTGCTCGCCACAGTAAACATGACTCGTGTCGTTCTCCCGCGGCCCTCACTCGTCCTGCTCGCCACAGTAAACATGACTCGTGTCGTTCTCCCGCGGCCCTCACTCGTCCTGCTCGCTACTGTAAACATGACTCGTGTCGTTCTCCCGCGGCCCTCACTCGTCCTGCTCGCCACAGTAAACATGACTCGTGTCGTTCTCCCGCGGCCCTCACTCGTCCTGCTCGCCACAGTAAACATGACTCGTGTCGTTCTCCCGCGGCCCTCACTCGTCCTGCTCGCCACAGTAAACATGACTCGTGTCGTTCTCCCGCGGCCCTCACTCGTCCTGCTCGCCACAGTAAACATGACTTGTGTCGTTCTCCCGCGGCCCTCACTCGTCCTGCTCGCCACAGTAAACATGACTCGCGTCGTTCTCCCGCGGCCCTCACTCGTCCTGCTCGCCACAGTAAACATGTCTCGCGTCGTTCTCCCGCGGCCCTCACTCGTCCTGCTCGCCACAGTAAACATGACTCGTGTCGTTCTCCCGCGGCCCTCACTCGTCCTGCTTGCTACAGTAAACATGACTCGTGTCGTTCTCCCGCGGCCCTCACTCGTCCTGCTCGCCACAGTAAACATGACTCGTGTCGTTCTCCCGCGGCCCTCACTCGTCCTGCTCGCTACTGTAAACATGACTCGTGTCGTTCTCCCGCGGCCCTCACTCGTCCTGCTCGCCACAGTAAACATAATTAATGGCGACTGTAGAACGCAAAAGCCGAATCCCGGACATTTTGGGCGATCTCGAAATCCCGGGCAGACTCATCACGGAGACTCACTAGTAGCCTAGACTTGTTGTTTAACTACTGCGCTCTGTTACCGGTAGGCGTGGCCTCCTAGGGCAGCGAAGCAAGTGCATTCTGGGAGTTGTTGTCTTTCATCCACATAAGCCAAAAATACATTTTCTGGCTTTTCTCAGTCTAGAAAGCTCCAAATTCAAAAATAATTTCACATTTTTCTACACAAATGACCCATTTTAAATACACATTAATCTTTCCAGAGGTGAAGTATCCCTTTAAGTGCTTTACTGAAGAAATGAAGTCATACTTCTGTGCGTCCACATTAACCAAAGTTCACTGTACACCATTTATTAAACATCAGATGACAGTTCATTATCAGTTTGACAAGAGACCATACAACACATTGGGAAATTCTCAGGATCTTCCTGCTGTGGTTTTTTAGGATTGAATTCAACATTTACATGAACAGATTCAGATTTACATAAACTCTCAGGTCCAAAAAAGCTTGTCAGTTCTCCAACGATATTTACATCTGTACATGAGAATGCAAACAGCGTTACAGGCTGAAAAAAAAACCCACATGAAACATGATCACATTCAGTTCAGAAGTTAATGTTCTCAGAGTTTCAGTTGCATAGGTCTTCCTTTAAAACTTAAGAGGGTAAAAGAAGAAGCAGTTCAGCTAAACCAGACAAAGCATCCTGACTAGTGAACACAGGAAAACTGATCTAAAAACAGATAGAAGTAAGCCATGCGCAAATCGTCTTTATGCACTGACGTGTGTGTGGTTGCGGTGACCTAGTAAAAACAGCCTTTTGTCGAACCATTTTAAGCTTAGCTTTCTCGGATCAAAATCCGTGCGAAAGAGCTGCCTTATTAATACACAAGCGTCAATATGAATTTATTAGCGATTGTACATATTTAATGAGACCTATTTTTCAAACAATGCCGCTCGCAGGCCTGAAATCAATATTTCAAAAATGAGATGTTTCATAACTTTGACTTGTCACGCCGATGTGAATTATTAACTTAAGTGTAACACGAGAGCGCTGAGAGAGCCGACTAAGACGTGTGCTGCTAATGTGTGTCTGCTGAACGAGACAGGCCAGGTTTTAGTGGATCCCCCAGCTCATATTTATGCTCTGACCTGTACATGTTTGAAGAAAAATCAAGGCAAATCACCGCTTACATATAGAGTGCATTAGTGCCCGCCCACTTTTTCAGAGGCGTTGGTTTCAGAAGTATTTTTTCCATTCATTTCTCCCATAGGGATTTTAAAAAAAGGCTTTGTTGAAGCGTTATAAGCCATGAACCATCCAACCAGCTACGAGGTGAATCACAACATTACAAACCTTGATTAAATCAGATAAAAATACAAAGGTAAAGACTGTGTACTTAACGGCTTTAGTGACGGAAAGAACTACAATCCCATGAAGCATTGCAAACAGCATAATCAAATTAAAAACATTGGAGAAATATAAAACTACTCATTTACAAATGTCGACTTTATTTTTATATATATAACAATATATTTTAATTTAATGCAATAAAATATGCACATATACACAAATATTTAAGTATTTTGAGAGAGAAAACGGATTCTCGATTACGTCACTCCAGTGCTTCATGAGAGGGGGCGGAGCTAAAGAGCAAATTTTGGCACAATTTGATTGTGACGACTCTGATTGGTGGAATTTTCTGTACAGCATCATGGGTAATGTAGTTTTCACCACGAATTCCACTGTTAAACACGATTATTTTAAGAATAAGTTTAAATAATGCGGGCTGACGGCTTCAATACTATCGATTAGCAACCTCGTCGCTCACAGTAGGGCTGTCTTGAACGGTTTATACGTTTCTTTTTTTTAAATTTCCCTATAGAGAAAATAAATGAAGTTTTTACTTCTGGAGCCTGACTGTTGCAATTTATTACACACTCTTAGAAAAAAAAAAGGTTAATTTGTGTTCTATTTAGAACTTTAAGGTTCTTTGCTCAATTTTAAAGGACCATTTACTGTATACCAAAAAGGAGAAATGTCTAAAATGATTGCACAATTGTGTGATGCAGGGTTAACGCCAAAACCCGGAAGATCAATTCGCCATGGTTCCCTCGAGATTTGCCAGTGGGGTTTTATAATGTTGTTGTTTTTTTATTCATGAGTTAAATAAAGCCTGTGGTAAACATACAGTAACTTGACAATACTTCGACCTTTTGTTCTATAACTTAAATTGCACACACTCGCACCCCAAGCTGCCTAATAGTAACTTATTAGAAACATATTCAAAATGAAACATAACTCCTTCAAAATTCATGTTTTTGGTATGGGTGCATGTAATATACATTGTAGAACAAAACGTCAAAATATCATTTACCACAGGCTTTATTTTACTCATAAAAAAAAAAACTCATTGAAGGTTCTATACAGTGTATGAGGCACCTGACGGAACCCTTAAAGGTTCTATATAGAACCTTTTCTTGGAAAAATGCAGGTTCTAATAACTGAAACATTCCTGCCATTTATGGAATTTTTAAAACATTGACGAATGTTTTTCAGCATTTCTTGCATTTCTTTTCTTCACTTACCCCTCAGCAAGGATTTCAATAGTTATCAGAAGTGAAGAAAAGGTGAGAAAAAGCTTTAAAGTGCTCTCATTAGGGAGAGAAACAAGATTCCAGGCGTAATTCAGTGTTTTGCTATTGCTATTTTCGGTAATTGAAAACATTGTTTTAACTAAACTTAGAAAGGTTACTTATTCAGGCAAATAACTGAAATATATCTAAGTTGATTTAAGCTCAAGTAATTACAAACTAAATCTGAAATAAATTAAACCCATACAGAAATAAAAAAAAAATGACAAGTTCAAACTTGAGCTAGAATTCAAATGAAAACGAAAAATATAAAAATAAAAGCTAATTCAAAATATTTATAAATAATACAACAATAAATACTTTGTTTATAAATGTTTTTATACTAAAAACACTGGTTAATGCTGGGTATAAAAGTCTGAGACCACATTGAAAATCTGAGATTTAAGCCTGAAAATAAATGCAAGATTTATTAAGATAAAGATGAGCTTGTATGTTACGATGTAAGCACTGTGAGTGTGGCTGGACGAGTGTAAAAACTGAGCGAGTGACTTACATAAGACCGACTGCTCCTCTAAAACACTGACATACTAGTTTTTGGCAGGTCCATATAAAATTCTCTTTGTCCAGATTGTGCTCATTGGCTCCTTTCAGCACTTATTGCTTTTGAACGCTCACGATGTGACATCACATCCTCTCTCTTTGTTCCCATTTCCTATTTAGTGTCTCTTTCTGTTTTGCATTTGTTCCATTTCTTCAGTGTTTTCCTCCTCGACCCGTCGTGTCTCGTTCGATTCAGTCGCTTCGTCCTCTTTTCTCGTTTCTGTCTCACTCTCTGTCTTGTTCATTTCCTCTTCCTGGTGTTCATCGTTTAACAAATCACCCTCGTGCTTTCTGTCCTCCTCTTTTTCCTTCGCTCGTTCCCTGAAAATATCAAACAGCTTGTCAAACTTGGGTCCCCATTCCTCAAATCTGTCTTTCTGTCCCTCTGCATCTTTTTCGGCCTCGCTTTCAAGCGAGCTGAGAGACGTCGCCTGAGAGCCGCCCCCCTCCAATCCGTACGTCTGCAGCGAGTCGTATGGCGGCTGCATGGGGTCAAAGGTCACCAGGGCAAGCCGATGTTGCAGGAAGTCGCCCATTCTGTTAGTCAGCGAATCGCCGCTTGCCTTTTCCGAGTTCGCTTGTCCAACCGTCCCATTCCCCAAGCCCCACCCCCTTTCATACAGCCCCGCCCCTCCAGGGAGGGGCATCACTAGGTGTGGCACATAGTTCTGCCCGCCCACCCCGTACAAGCCCATTAGGCCGACAGCTTCTGGGTAGAGGAGCGTGGTCCCGGTCACAGGTACCCCTCCGCCGACCCTCAGAAGAGTACCTTCCATCGTCCTGAAGGGCATCTCCGTCGTGGCGAGGCTGGCTGTGCTCTGGCTGGTGCTGATGGGAGTAACGTCTCCGTTCTTGTCCAAAGCCGAGGCGGGGGCGGAGTCGTCCGTGGTGATGGTGGAAATGGAGGCTCGCGTGGTCAAGCAGTGAGGGGACGACTCCGGTTTATGGCCCACTGAAGAGCTGGAGGTCTCCGAGTAGGAACTGGAGCCCTTCACAAACAGAGCCTGGTCTGAATGAACAGACTGAGGAAGAAAACAATCGAAAACGGTGAGGTACATGACATATTTAAACCTTAAGCCATTTAAGTTACTTCATATTTATATATGCTCTATCATAAAACATTTTTTTGATTTCTTTTGCTCACCAAGGCTGCATTTATTTGATCAAAAATAGTTAAAGGATTAGTTCACTTTTAAAAAAACTTTTGCTGATAATTTACTCACCCCCATGTCATCCAAGATGTCGAATCTTTTTACGAGTCATTTGATTCATTTAACGACCGAAATGAACGAATTGACTCGGAAAAAGATTTGTTCATTTTGATGAACGAGTTCGAACAGGAGAGTTACACAGAACAGAGCAAGGCGAGCATTTGAGCTTATCAAACTTAAACTTTGGGGTTTTTTTTTTAAATGACCAATCGTTTCGCTTGATAAGACCCTTATTCATCGTCTGGTGTCGTTTAAAACCATTTGAACAGTTTGGAGTTTGCACTGAAACTGTCATTTGGACCTTGGACCGTTTGGTGCCCAGTAAAGTGCATTATATGGAGAAAAATCCTGGAATGTTTTCATCAAAAACCTTAATTTCTTTTCGACTGAAGAAAGAAAGACATGGACATCTTGGATGACATGGGGGTGAGTAAATTATCAGCAAAAGTTTTTTTAAAAGTGAACTAATCCTTTAAGACGGTAATATTGTGAAATATTATTACAATTTAAAATAACTGTTTTTTTTATTTGAATATATTTGTCTTCAGTGTCACATGATCCTTCAGAAATCAAGAAGATCATTTTTATTATCAATGTTGGCTGCTTCATATTTTTGTGGAAAATTTGATGAACAGAACATTCAAAAGAACAGCATTTATATGAAATATAAATCTTTTGTAACATTGTAAATGTCTTTGCTGTCACTTTTGAACAATTTAATATGTTCTTGCTGAAGAATTAATTTCCGAAGTATTAATTTCTTTCAAAAAAATAAAAAAAATGTAATGACCCTAAACCTTGAACCCTGAACTCCCTGGACCTCGGCAACATGACTTGACTTAAATCAAAGAAAGTATTTTAAATCAAACTTCATATCCCAAGAAGCACTGTGCATGATGTAATCTACTATATAAAATTAATATAAATGTTTTTTATGTATATTGTTTATTATTATAACTATAAAACAATATATTTAGCAAAATATTCAGAAATATACTAATATAAGTAGTTTGAGATTATAGGAACTCACTATTGATCACTACTTTTTCATTTCCATTGCAACAGCGACTTCTCTGATTGGTGGATGTCTCTTCAGGATTATGGGTAGTTTAAGTCTCCAAAGAAAATGTGTCAATTTGATCTTAAATCACACTGATTTGTTGCTTTAAAAGAAGCACATCTCATAGCTAACCAACTCCAGAGCTCATCATAGGTCTGTTTAGGTAAGTTTATAAAAATCTATTAGTTTATTAAGACAATAATTGGGATTTTTAGGATTGCCGTGTGATAATATTAGTTTACCTGATCCTGGCTGAGTGTGTGGCTCTCAGAGATGACCTCACTTCCTGTCTCGCTCTCTTTCGGAATGCTGTCGGTGGATCCGTCTGCTCCTTTACATTCTGATCCCTCCCTGATTTTGTCAATAAACACAGAAGCGGATTCTAAAGGGCCGCGGGACTGGCCCTGGCTGGCGGGGAGAACGTACGGCAGTTTGGCGAGGTCGAGGCCGAGTCTGTTTCTCGGAGCTGGAAGGGTCTGGATGGTGTAACAGTACCGTCCGTAGAGGGGTGCAGAGACGGGACGCCGTGGGTCCAAACCCAAACTCTGACTCCAGCTGAAGGTTCTGACGCTGTCCAGGTTATCCTGAGAATACCTGTTATAATAACAGAGAAATTAAGAAACTAAAATGGTTCAATTATTATAGCAGTTAAGTATGGAAGCCCATTTCTGCCACATACGGGGGGGGGGGGGGGGGGGGGGGGGGGGCTTTGGTAAATCATAATTATGAAGTCGACAATATGACCTAAAAAGAAATTATAATTATTGCATAAAACTTTTTAACTCCAAATTATGACTTAGTATGTCATCATTTCAAAGTTTTCATCAGAATTATTACTTGGCCTGTCCATTTCAACTTTGTCAAAATTGTATCTAATTGTGACAGTTTGTCTTATAATTATAACTCTTTGTCAATTTCAACTTTATCTCAAAATTATTACGGTATCTTACAATTTTGACTTTTTATCTCATAATTATGACATAGTATCTCATAATTTCGACTTGTAATGTCAAAATATGACATAAAAGAAATTAGACCCATCATAACTGAGATAAAATGGCATCTTTTTAACTCCTTAGTGTGTTATAATTTTCATAATTTATCATTTTGACATATCTAATATTTTGACTTATAATTATAACTGTCAGTTTCAACTTGTATCTCATAATTTCGAATTTTTATAAAATTACAACATACTATCTTATATTTTGACTTGTCATGTCAATTTCAACTTTATGTCATCTTACAATTTTGCCTTTTTATCTCAAAATTATGACATAGTATCTCATATTTAAGACTTTTTAAGAAATAAGAAATCACAACAGATAAAGTTTCAACTTTTTAACTCTTAATTGTGACTTACACTCACCGGCCACTTTATTAGGTACCCCATGCTAGTAACGGGTTGGACCCCCTTTTGCCTTCAGAACTGCCTCAATTCTTCGTGGCATAGATTCAACAAGGTGCTGGAAGCATTCCTCAGGGAGTTTGGTCCATATTGACATGATGGCATCACACAGTTGCCGCAGATTTGTCGGCTGCACATCCATGATGCGAATCTCCCGTTCCACCACATCCCAAAGATGCTCTATTGGGTTGAGATCTGGTGACTGTGGAGGCCATTTTAGTACAGTGAACTCATTGTCATGTTCAAGAAACCAATTTGAAATGATTAGAGCTTTGTGACATGGTGGAAGTAGCCATCAGAGGATGGGTACATGGTGGCCATAAAGGGATGGACATGGTCAGAAACAATGCTCAGGTAGGCCGTGGCATTTAAACGATGCCCAATTGGCACTAAGGGGCCTAAAGTGTGCCAGGAAAACATCCCCCACACCATTACACCACCACCACCAGCCTGCACAGTGGTAACAAGGCATGATGGTTCCATGTTCTCATTCTGTTTACGCCAAATTCTGACTCTAACATCTGAATGTCTCAACAGAAATCGAGACTCATCAGACCAGGCAACATTTTTCCAGTCTTCAACTGTTCAATTTTGGTGAGCTCTTGCAAATTGTAGCCTCTTTTTCCTATTTGTAGTGGAGATGAGTGGTACCCGGTGGAGTCTTCTGCTGTTGTAGCCCATCCGCCTCAAGGTTGTGCGTGTTGTGGCTTCACAAATGCTTTGCTGCATACCTCGGTTGTAACGAGTGGTTATTTCAGTCACTGTTGCCCTTCTATCAGCTCGAACCAGTCTGGCCATTCTCCTCTGACCTCTGGCATCAACAAGGCATTTCCGCCCACAGAACTGCCGCTCACTGGATGTTTTTTCTTTTTCGGACCATTCTCTGTAAACCCTAGAGATGGTTGTGTGTGAAAATCCCAGTAGATTAGCAGTTTCTGAAATACTCAGACCAGCCCTTCTGGCACCAACAATCATGCCACGTTCAAAGTCACTCAAATCAACTTTCTTCCCCATACTGATGCTCGGTTTGAACTGCAGGAGATTGTCTTGACCATGTCTACATGCCTAAATGCACTGAGTTGCCGCCATGTGATTGGCTGCTTAGAAATTAAGTGTTAACGAGCAGTTGGACAGGTGTACCTAATAAAGTGGCCGGTGAGTGTAGTTTGCCATAATTTCAGTTTTTATCTCATAATAATTGCAACTTAAGGGGGTCGCACACTGGACGAGAAGCGCACCGCCGCGTTTAGGACAACTCGAGGTATCGCACACCGTACGCGCACTTTCTCAGTTTATGGCCATCAATATTGTTATGTTTAAGGACATTATGAAATTAAAATTTAACTTTAATATAAAACTATGTAAATGGAGCTCTGTTCTGACCTTTTGAACAAGGTCGTGAGCCATTGCTGGGCGCCGCGGACAGACGTCGAATGGTGCCACCGGTGTGTGTCCACTCATAGAGAATAATATATGTTCGAATTTTAAAGACGTGGCGCTTCTCGTTCGGTGTGCGACCCCCTTTAGTCTAATATTGTTCAAGACTTGTCATTATAACTTTCAACTTCAACTTTATCTCAACATTATAACAGTATCTTACAGTTTTGACTTTTTATCTCATAGTTTCGAAAAAAAAAAAGTCTCTTATGTGGCAGAAATGGGCTTCCATAGTTAAGCCTTTGGGCTAGTTATGCAAATATTGCATAACCCCTCTGTGTAATTGGGTAATACATCACCAAATTCAAGAAAACTGTACAGCTCTAAGCTTTTAATGGGGCTTTTAAAGGAAAACTGCATCCAGCTATTTCACCAAAACCAGATACTTCTGAGTTACAGTAAGTTGTTTCGTTTTAATTAAAAGATCTGTTAGTCCCAGAGTTGTGACTCCTGATGCAACGATTCAAAAACTGCCAGTTGTATCTTTAAACATAGTTGCATGTGATGTACTTTCGTCAACCTGCCCAGGAGTATTACAATGACATCTAACAGGAATATGATGGATAGAGGACACCGTGTGGGTTTGAACAGCATAAATATTAACTAGATGAACTTTGCACTGAAACAGCTGTCAGATTTGCATGTGAAGGCTCATTAAATCACACACACACCCCGAGTACAGAGCCCTCATTAATCAGATAAACAGTTAACATCATTTAGAGCGACTGAACGTATTTCGAGTAACCAGAGATTCCAGGGAAAGATACACAAGTTTGTGTTTGTTGCGAATGTCAGCTGAATGATTCACATGGGCTTATAATATAATATGGCATTTTCTAAACCAAATGTCAAGAAATGACATGTGATTTGAAAGATCAGATAGTGGCAGCATTAGACCAAGGCGATTGGAAAAATGAAATGAGACGTCTATTTATGTGAACACATGCACAAACACACTCACATGTTGTTGTTGTCTCGAAGGCGCTGTGCCCTGCGCATGCTCTGGGGGGCGCTCTTCAGGGTCGCGATATCGAACGCGGCCGTGTCCGCCTCCCCGCCTCCCTCGTCATCATACGTGATGATGTTCTCCCTGATCTCATCATCTTCCACAGGAGACTGAGTGTCCCGCTTCTGCCTTCGCAACGATAGCGAAAGAGCAGCCACCACTATCGGACAAAAGACAGCGAGAAAAAAACCAGAGGAAGTTACAGCCACTTTCCACAGATACAAGTACATTCGTTTAAGCTTTTGACTGACACTTTTATCCGAAGCGACTTGCACTGAATTCATGCTATACATTTATTTTTCCAATTAATGCATTCCCTGGGAATTGAACCCATGACCATGATGTTGCTAGGCGCCATTCTCCACTGTTTGAGCCATAGGAAGATGTAGAGGCTAAATATGGTGCAAAATAGACTATTTCTTTTTTTTAATAATCTGTAACAAAAGGTGTGTAACCTTCAGAAATTGTTCACAGTCAACCTAAGTAAGTTAAACATCTTATTTTAGATTGCTAATTGGGTTTCATTATAAGTAATGTGTGCAACTGTGCACTGTGTTCAAACCGTGGAATATTTTTCCCTTTAGTTTTCAGATATAAAATAGCTTTAATAACAGATACAAAAGGAAACATTGCCATGTGGCAACTCTGTAGCTCAATGTTTCTTCAAAATTATGAATATCTCCTTGAACTAAATTCATATTTAATCAAATCAATAATTATCAATGTTTCTTCAATATTGTTCCTAAAAGAATAAACCTTCAACCTTTTAAAGGAAAACCTGCATCTAGTGCACCAACCATCAGTCTTTCAGTCAGAACAAATATACTACATCAGCTTCTTCAAAGTTACCAATATGATTCATTTTAGTTTCAGTGCTAACTTCTGATGATTCATAACTGTCAGTTTAAAAATAGCTCTAATAATGAAAATGTATTCAAGGATATTTAAGGGAAAAAAATGGGGGAAACATTGCCATACGGCAAGGGAAAATGGTTTAAAAACTATTCTTAAACGTATTCTTATTCTTAAAAAATAGTTCTATCTTAAAAATGATTTATAATGTACTAAATTGAAATATCTTTAAAACTAAAATTGAGTGAATCATTCTCAAGGTTTCTTCCACGTCGTTCCTAAATGCTTTTTCTCACGGTTCATTTTTGATTTTTGGCTAAAAAAAATAATAAATACAAATGAAAATTGTTATTTCTGCAGAAATGCAATTATATCATGGTAAACACTTCCAAGAAAATGTAATAACATAACTGATGCCAATATCTATAAAATTCCCACTGAGAAAATATATTAGACCGGTTCCAATTCTAAGCATTTTTTCCATTATGGCACAGTACATATTTTCCTAATTTTCTGTAAAACGATGTCATATAAAGTTGATAACAACTGTTAACTGTTGTTAACAACAGCAACTAAATAACTTGATGAAAGTAATGATTTACTTCAAGCAACATATCAAAATGTGTTTAACAAAGCAATTTGTAGAGCATTTCAGCAAGTGTCCATGTAAAGAGTTTTGAAGGAGTAATGGGGTTTAAAGGAGAACTCCGGCGCAAAATGAACCTTTGGTCTAATTACACATTGTTACCTAGTCAACCGTTATCTGAGATTTGTTTTCATGATTATCGAATGTAAATAGTTTTATCTCTAAAAACAGTTTAGCCTATAAAGCTAGTATAACGCTAGGATATTGGGCATAGTGTAATGACAAATAAAAATCGCTTGTTAATACCACTAACAAGGCTCAAAATAGCCCCACACTAACACGGTAGCATAATGAGGGTCCCTACCTTCAAACCGAAGCATTGAGAACTTTGTAAGTGTACAGACAGTTTAATAAGAAGATATTTTAAACATACAGTCAACTTCGTGTATACAGGCAGAAGCCATCTTTGAAATACAGTCTTTACCAGTCGATCTACGAACGCCGATCCAAGTGCGCTGGTGAGAATGATAAGGTGAGCGCGAACAGCAGGCTTGGATCGGCGTTCGTAGATCGACTGGTAAAGGCTGTATTTCAAAGATGGCTTCTGCCTGTATACACGAAGTTGACTGTATGTTTAAAATATCTTCTTATTAAACTGTCTGGACACTGACAAAGTTCTCAATGCTTCGGTTTGAAGGTAGGGACCCTCATTATGCTACCGTGTTAGTGTGGGGCTATTTTGAGCCTTGTTAGTGGTATTAACAAGCGATTTTTATTTGTCATTACACTATGCCCAATATACTAGCGTTATACTAGCTTTATAGGCTAAACTGTTTTTAGAGATAAAACTATTTACATTCGATAATCATGAAAACAAATCTCAGATAACGGTTGACTAGGTAACAATGTGTAATTAGACCAAAGGTTCATTTTGCGCCGGAGTTCTCCTTTAAAAGCAGTATATTATTGGGGGGTTTTTGCACAGTGAAGGAAAATGATATGTTGCCATATGGCTTCATTGGAAGACATCAAAGTGTATTTGTAGAAAATGCCTATTCCACCTCTCACTTACTTACTTACTTAGTGGGGTTTGAGTGTTCAATGTCATTTGGGGTACCTTGAGGGAGGGAAAGGGTTGTTCCGCAATCTCAAAATGCCATACGATGCCGTCAGCACTCATCAAATGCTATTTATTATGACTGACTTAGAGCAGAAATCAAACCCAAACATGTCCATTAGCAAGCCCAACTGACAAACAGAGCAGAAAAAATGAGGCAGGTTGGTGGAAAGTTCGAACGACCCACAAAAACATACATATATGGAAGAAAAGCAGCAATTTTAAGACACACCAGGAGGCAATGGTGGATGAAGACAGGGAATGATGGACAGATGTAGCAACAACACATCATTATACCAGCCGGTTATAGAGGCGGAGCGAAGGGCAAGTAGCAAACATAAATCTGATGAAATGGACTGGAAATCAAAACTGACCCAGAAAAGTTGACGCACAGGCCAGGATCGCCAACATGGCGGCCGAGCTGATTCCCAGCAGCGAGGAGTTCGACGGTACAGGCGAACACGCCGCTTGCCTCTCCCAGTCCGGCAAAGATGGTTTATCCTTCTCGTCCGTTTGTTGTTTCTGTTCCTCTGTCCACATGCCTCCGTTTTGGCACGGACACACCGTAACGGTAATCGTTCCTGTGCTCCTGAGGTCTGACGCACCGTCATGGAGCATTATGGGTATGTTTAGAGTTGGTAAAGAGGAAGAGCGAGGAAAAGCCTTCAGGGACGACAAAAGCACCAGACTCGCCGTGTGGTCTGGAAGCAAAAGAAATGGAACATAAACAATCATCAGTCATGTGACTCATTATGAAAAATTAAATGAAAAGGTATAATATGATATGATAATAATATAATAATTTATTATATATAGAAATATAACAAACATATTTAGTATATATATACCGGTATATATATACACACACACACACTAACTATATTTGTTATATTTATATAATAAATTATTATCATATCATATTATACCATTTTATACAATATATAATACAGATATTTTCCTTACACCAGATTTCTCAAATTTCTCCCTTTGTGTTCCACAGCAAAAATAACAGCATTCAGGTTTAGAGAGAAATGAATGATGAATAATTTTTTATTCTGGGGTGCAAATTAGAAACCAGCAGATTGAAGCGGAGAACAGGATAATGAAAGAAAGGATTGCTGGAGCACAGAGCAGGGAGTTTGCTGTGTTCATCTGAGCGGAATGTGACAAAAAAAGATAAATGGATGAGCGTAATGAAGGAGGATATATGTCTGGACAGAGACCGGGAGGGAGATGAGGGAAACTGATGGGGAAGAGAAGACGGATGGATGACAGGAGATATCTGGAGAGCGCACCTCCTCGCTCTCTGACGGAGAAGTTGAGCGCACTGCTGGATTCTGCGGGAATACTGAAGTGGATGGGAGAGTTGGAGCTGCTTTGGTCTTTATCTATCGCTCGAATCACCTGCACCACCTGAAACGCAAATGGAGAAAGACTGACACAATGATTTTCATAAATAAGTCAGGTTTTTTTGTTGTTTTTTTGCCACTGAACAGCAAGGATTTGCAGTCTAATGTAATCCCTCTGGTTCTATACTCCCCGCAAGATTCAAACCGGCGTTTCCGGCATGGGAGGCGGGCGCGCTAACAAAGACACTAAAGACCACAGCCTCTAGTGTCAGTCGCTAATGTGCCTCTTAAGGCCAGGGGAGTGACGTTTACTCGCACAGCTCTTACTAGCTAGCCTCTGTTACACTCACCTCCCTAAACCTCACTCCCATCCGGGTCACGGCACCAATTTTACCCCTCTGGTTCTACTTGCATCGCTCCGAGTGGGATTCAAACTGCCGTTTCCAGCACGGGAGGCGAGGGCGCTAACAAGGACACTAAAGACCACAGCCTTTAGCATCAGTCACTAGCACACCTATTGAGGCCAGGGGAGTGAAGTCCTTGCACACTGAGTCTGAAATTTTCGTATGCGTTTTTTTTTGTATTCGTCAAGCTAAAAAATTTGTCACGCACTGAAACCTTACACACTTAGTCCGATGCGCATTAATTAATCTGTTGTGAAAAAAATTGCAAAACTAAACAAAATGGAGTCTTCAAGCATTGAGGATGATTTTGTCCTCTCTCTTCTTAGAAAGATAAAAAGAATGAGGAAATATTGGGTCTATCCAACGCATCCTGAGATTGCGTAGAGAGAAAGTTCCACCTCCCTATTAAGGAGCTGCGGGATTATCCCAAGCGATTCAAAGTTTACTTCAGGATGTCAGTGTCTCAGTTTGATGCTTTGCTGGATTTTGGCGTTCGCTTGTACGGTGGCTCTGAATTGTCAAAACACCTTTTAAAATGCTTGCTACGGATGTGAATTTTTTTTATGACGGACAGACGTTTCGGAGGCAGTGTGTAAACGTGATTGACACAACATGAGGTCGTATTTGATTTTTAACGTGCAAAAAATTTCAAGAATTTCGGACTCAACACTAACTCCCCTACACCTCTCTCCTATCCGGGTCACGGCACCAATGTAACCCATTCGGTTCTACTTGCATCGAGCGAGCGAGATTCCAACCAGCGTTTCCAGCATGGGATGCAGGCGAGCTAACACAGATGCTAAAGGCCACAGCCCTTGTTAGCTGGCCTCCGTTACACTAACACACCACGTAACACACCATTCTGACTGTGCTTCTAATTAATGTTTATCACCAGTGCTTATAACAAGTTGCATCTCACACTTCACCGATGAAGACCTTTTTGGTCGAAACGTTGCACTGTTTATAAATACATTGGAGCTGTAATTTCAATGTGCGCACATTATTTTTCTGTGTTCATGATTTGCACAAATAAGTCAGTTTTTTTGCCACTGAACAGCAAGGATTAGCAGTTTAACAGCACGTCATGATTAGGCTGACTCACTGTGTGCACTGGCATCACTAATAACATCAGTCGGTTAAATCGAAATGCTGTTCTGAAATGCCTTTGTTAATCGAATCTCTTTGCAAGATTGCATAGGGTCAGTTTTACCATACTAGTTTGGTCAGATATAGAAAGTATTATAAATATAAGACAATTTGCAGTGAGCTGATCATTATTGCAAAATAAAACCCTGCCAGGGTGATCAGAAATAGGTCTCACCCTGAAGGGATTTATTTTGTGTTCATTATCTAAATATGCGAGAAGAAACAGATATAACAAACATAAAGCTGGCACAGCTATTGTAGGAAATCTGTTGCCTGGGGCAGCGATTAATTACCCAATAATATTTTAATGCAGAATGCTGCAACTGACCAATCAGAATCAAGCATCTCAGATATTCAATTATGTTACTTGGCAGAAGAACTGTTTATTCCAGTTTATTGAACACTGGTGTATTTTAAGTTAAGTTAGCCACTTTATTAATCCCACAAGGGGCAATTACATTAGGGCAGTGGCATCACATCACAAACTAAAAAAACATTAAAACAATCATAATCCACATACACATTTCTAATTTATCATATTGCTTTGCCACCATTTTCTAAAGCCAATATGACAAGAGACGACATGCATTAGTAATTTTAACATAGTTAACGGGTGTTGTGAGGCAACAACTTATAGATCTAAGCAAAATGAAATAAATAATATATGTTTCTGGTTGTTTTATAAGTCTTTCCTTGTAAAGGCCCTTGCACACTGAGTCCGAAATTTTCGTATGCGTTTTTTCGTATTCGTGATTCGGATTCAAACTGCTTGCTATTGATGCGAAAAAAGCAGAAAATCAGATTTTTTTTAATGACGGACGAAAGTTTCGGAGGCAGTGTACAAGCGTGATTGGCATAACGTGAGGTTGTATTTATTTTTTAACGTGCGAAAATTTCGGACGCAAATTTCGGACTCAGTGTGCAAGGGCCTTAAGTGGGCGCTTCTTGACAAGAATAATCTTTCAAAGTGGACTGTATAATCTCTTCATAGCAGGCTTCATCGGGTCACTGACCTGTCCAGCAGCGCTGGAGTCACACACGGCAGTGTTATATTGTCGGTCCAGCTCGGGGGCGTTGTCATTGATGTCCAGTGTCTCTATGGCAACCGCTACCCTGGTAACTTGGTTGGGGCTGTCTAAGAAAGAGAAAAGAACAGGGTGATGGGAAATTCTGAGAAGTACACTATATAAAAAAGCAAGGAAGTTAGAAATCAAAAGCTTTTAAGCCCCAAGTAGGTCAGCTAAATCTTACTGACCATGAAAACAGAAGCTAACTCCAATCTGTCTGGTTTACTGTTCTCCATACGCTCTGTGCTCTCTTGGGACATAACGTTACATCACGACCAGAAGTGGCCCGAACGTCGACATCTGATGTTCAGAATATGACATTATATAAAGACATAACAAAGCCACACTTATCGCATTTAGTGTGTGTGTGTGTCTAATATGAAAGTAATTACTGAATATGAGCTGAACAAATCCACTCCATTCTCAGAGTCACTTCTGAGGATGCAAGATAGTGTTTTATGAGGGCCAACGGGGAGCACAAATGGGCGACCTTGAGCTTGTGTGGACCAGACTCAAAAGCAATTTGAGTTATCATTCTATCATTCTTACTCTTCCCTTTCTGTTTGCGCGTGTCTCTGCCTTGAGCTTTCATGTTCACAGCCGCTGCAGAAGTAATAGCTTTCCTGTGGACCGATTTCACGCTGCTACCTGTGTGAAATCGTCAAGCGCTCAGAATTGATGCAATGTCCCTTTAAGAGTGAAGGCGAGGAGTTCTGGTATACCTCTCTGTGTGGCGATGACAGTAATGTTATGCCATCGCTCCTGTTCCCGATCTAATTCCACGGCCGTGGTGATGAGACCATTGTCAGAGGCGATACGGAACAGCGCCTCGGGGTCTGACTCGGGATCAATTGAGTACCTGAGAAGAAATGGACAGGAATAAAAGAAGGAGGGCAGACAGATTAGAAGATATAAAGGATAACAGGGTTTAGCAAGTGAAAAGGAGCAGGTTAAGTGAAAACAGCCCACATAGCTCCTGTGAAAGACAGAAACATGATGCAACATTTATAACTAATAATGCATGTGCTGTATGAGCAAAACTCACAAAAACCTGTCACGATTAGAACATGCCCAGGTGATATTTCAACTCAAAATCTACAGGAAGAAAACTATACAATCTCATTCTCATTACTGTAATGCAAAACAGAAACCCACATCATGCACCTGTGGGCACTTTTGTCCTTGTGGACTTGTAGAAAATAAACACTTTTACACCCCCACTACTTTCTTCTTTCTCTGTGGACAGTGCATATACATGCATCACAGGAGAATTGTCACATTTTATCCTAGACATCATTTTTCAGAGCCAAGAAATGTCATTTCCATCACATCTCAATATTTAGCATTCTATGGTGGGGGGAATAAGATACTCCTTTATTTTAATAAGGCTAATAACATTGTAAACCCTAAATAAACACAATAAAATAATACAATTGTGTCCAGACCATATTTAACATAAATGGTTCATACAGCATTATATTTGGTACAGTCATCTGTAAATATTTTTATTTTCTCTGGTTTTCTAAAAGTGATAGCATGCACGTAAATGATGAGAAGAAACCTAAAACGCTTGATAACCTCCATATATTCACCTCGGTTTAATACTGTAAACGTGGTTTGATGTGGGATGATTCGGTCGTGTTCGACAATCACTAGATCACTAAACTTTTGCCATGAAAACATTCTGACTGCTTGTATGATAAATGAATTTGTGGAAATTCTTAATCTTAGAAATCTGAAACAAAAACACAAATCTCAAACACAACCTGCTGGAAATGACTCGAATCAAATTCAATACTTTCACAAATGGTGTTGGAAGTTTTTACACTTTTTGCATAATTTGGTAATTACAGCTTAATTGAAAATAATACACTTTTTTTCACAAACCTTTTTTAGTGGCAATAGTGGAAATGCGAAAATAATGCATAGCAAGTTTTACGCATAGTAGTCATGATTTATAATGAAACAGCTCTTATTTTAGAACTAGTTTTAAAAATACTAATTCATTTTTGTATACCGGTAATTCATTTTCATATTTTGGGTAAAAAAAAAATACATACATGCAATTAATTTGAAAACTAGCACAAATAAATGGTGAAAAGATTCCAAAATAGCTTTAATGTGGCCTTCATTTAAAAATAAGAAAACATTTTAATCTGCTAATTTTAATATAAATACAATGTCCATGGGACATAAAAGTATAATTGAAGAAACTCACTCATAAATACAAGTACTTGTGTATGCTGCCTTTTAATTTATGCTGATGAATTAAAAAAATAAAATAAAAGTCATTAAAATCATAAAAAAGCACACACTCAAAAACTCAAAAAGTAAAATGTATGGACACATTATAGTAATGAGAATATAGGGAAAATGTGCTTAATTGTCATGAAAATAATGTCTATGTATATAAAACAATGTAACATTCCTAAAATATTTGCATTTTGCATTGATTTTGGGGTGAATGTGACCCACATGTGTTCTTGTGAGATTCACCCATTTACACGTATGACTACAGAGCAAACCATACTGAGTAAACAAGGTAAAAAGAGTGTGTTTACTTAATGTTGTTACTGAGGCCTGTATCCGGGTCCACGGCGGCCACTCTCCCCACCACACATGCCGGAGGACAGTTTTCCGACACGTCGAGCCGGTACCGAGAGCGGGAGAAGCGCGGCGGCTCGTCTGCATTCAGAACCGTGATGCGCACCATAGCACGGTCCTTAAACGGACCTCGCCTGAGGAACCGCGAGTCCACGTTTGGATTTTGCACCTCCACAGTGAAAGAGTAGGTGCTTCGCCTCTCATAGTCCACGGCCTGGTGTTGAAGATAAAAACACATCCTCATAAAACACTCATTTATTGAAACTCACATATGCCATCATTCTTTATACTGTGTTTTGGCTCCAGAAGGCGCACTAAAATATCTTTTCATTTCAGTGAGATGTTGAAACTCCCACATACACTTCTTTTTCATTCCTGCACCCCTGTAGATTACCAAAATAGAAGAAGAAGAAAAAGCAATGTGTCTGGGTTTCAGCATTTCATAACTTAAACGACTGCAGGGCTTGTTCTGCTGGTATTAAGATGGAAGGAAGTCATGGATTTGGTTATATTAACATCCATAACTGCTTCAGAACTGTATTAGGGGTTATGGATGCACTTGTGACGCTGGACACGATGAGAGTGGAGAACCGTAGGAGCAATGTAAATTAATTAGACACATATTAAAAGCCTGTCAAGAAAGTAAATGGGGTCTATTTAATGTCATGTTGACTTTAAAGGAGGCGTCAAGTAAACCGGGAGTGACATGAGCACATATGACCAACCGTATTTACATAACATAAAGAGAATTTAAAGGTGCAGTAGCGATGGCTACCGAAGCTCAATTTCATGCATTGTTGCGTTCTGAAACGCAAGCATGAAAAGCACTGGCTAAGAGCTTACATCTGCACTTACATATTTTGCGTAGTTTTGGCCAAAAGAATCAAAGAGAAAGTGGAAAATAGTCGTGAAAAACGTAATAAAAGACAGATGGATAGATGGACACACACACACACGCAGACAGACCTGGCTGCCGAAGGAAGTGTCTGTGCCCTTACTGCACACACACACACAGACCTGGCTGCTGAAGGAAGAGTGTCTGTGCCCTCACTGCACACACACACACACACACACACACACAGACCTGGCTGCTGAAGGAAGAGTGTCTGTGCCCTCACTGCACACACACACACACACACACACACAGACCTGGCTGCTGAAGGAAGAGTGTCTGTGCCCTCACTGCACACACACACACACACACACACACGCAGACCTGGCTGCTGAAGGAAGAGTGTCTTTGCCCTCACTGCACACACACACACGCAGACCTGGCTGCTGAAGGAAGAGTGTCTGTGCCCTCACTGCACACACACACACACACACGCAGACCTGGCTGCTGAAGGAAGAGTGTCTGTGCCCTCACTGCACACACACACACACACACACACACAGACCTGGCTGCTGAAGGAAGAGTGTCTGTGCCCTCACTGCACACACACACACACACACACACACACGCAGACCTGGCTGCTGAAGGAAGAGTGTCTGTGCCCTCACTGCACACACACACACACACAGACCTGGCTGCTGAAGGAAGAGTGTCTGTGCCCTCACTGCACACACACACACACACACACACACACACACAGACCTGGCTGCTGAAGGAAGAGTGTCTGTGCCCTCACTGCACACACACACACACACACACACACACACACACACAGACCTGGCTGCTGAAGGAAGAGTGTCTGTGCCCTCACTACACACACACACACACACACAGACCTGGCTGCTGAAGGAAGAGTGTCTGTGCCCTCACTGCACACACACACACACACACACACACAGACCTGGCTGCTGAAGGAAGAGTGTCTGTGCCCTCACTACACACACACACACACACACAGACCTGGCTGCTGAAGGAAGAGTGTCTGTGCCCTCACTGCACACACACACACACACACACACACACACACACAGACCTGGCTGCTGAAGGAAGAGTGTCTGTGCCCTCACTGCACACACACACACACACACACACAGACCTGGCTGCTGAAGGAAGAGTGTCTGTGCCCTCACTGCACACACACACACACACACACACACACACACACACACACAGACCTGGCTGCTGAAGGAAGAGTGTCTGTGCCCTCACTGCACACACACACACACACACACGCAGACCTGGCTGCTGAAGGAAGAGTGTCTGTGCCCTCACTGCACACACACACACACACACACACAGACCTGGCTGCTGAAGGAAGTCAAGTCAAGTCATCTTCATTTATATAGCGCTTTTAACAATGGATTGTTTCAAAGCAGCTTTACAGAGATAAACATATAATTTAAGGTAACAGATTGTTTTGGCGTTATAGCGGTTCTTGAATAATGTTACTTCCAGCTAAAGTTAACTTTGATTGATTCACCTCCGTCGAAATGATCAGACTTTAAACGCGAACCTGTGATTAACGCTGACGGCGTTCACATGCTCATTCAGAATTCTATAGTTATGTGCTTTTTAAAATATGTGCGCAGGTTTGTAATTCATACAACCCAGCCTAAACAAACTACTTTTCTTGCCTAAAAATTTTGATACAGAATTTTGTTTTATTTTATCACTTCGGGGTACGCGAGCCGGAATTCACAGCGCTTTATCTGTAGAGTGGGAAAGGGATCCTCCATAGGGAGAGGATAGTGGATACTTCAGCACTGCATTGTCATCGGGTCCAGGCAAAGCTCCCTCGTCAGATCTGGACACGGCCTGGATCCGGCAGGCTGCGGGAAAACCTCGGGAGAAACAAAGACACTAATATTAGCGTAGATGCCATTCTTCTTATGATGTAGCGAGTACATCAAGATTTAAGGGAAGTGTTCCCAGTTCCGGCTGTCCTAATCTATGCAGCCTAACATTGAATTATAGAAGTCTATAATGTATTATGTGTATGCTAGGTCAAAGAGATGTGTTTTTAGTCTAGCTTTGAACTGACAGAGTGTGTCTGCTTCCCGGACAATGGTAGGAAGACTGTTCCAAAGTTTTGGTGCTAAATAGGAAAAGGATCTCCCGCCTGCAGTCGATTTAGATATTCTAGGTATTATCAACTGGCCGGAATTTTGAGATCGCAATAGACGTGAAGGACTATAATGCGTTAAAAGCTCGCTCAAGTACTGCGGAGCTAAACCTGTCTGTGCCCTCACTGCACACAGTGTCTGTGCCAGCCAGGTCTGTGTGTGTGTGTGTGTGTGCAGTGAGGCCACAGGCACTCTTCCTTCAGCAGCCAGGTCTGTGTGTGTGTGTGTGTGTGCAGTGAGGCCACAGGCACTCTTCCTTCAGCAGCCAGGTCTGTGTGTGTGTGTGTGTGTGTGTGTGCAGTGAGGGCACAGACACTCTTCCTTTAGCAGCCAGGTCTGTGTGTGTGTGTGTGCCCTCACTGCACACACACACACACACAGAGACCTGGCTGCTGAAGGAAGAATGTCTGCCCTCACTGCACACACACACACACACACACACAGACCTGGCTGCTGAAGGAAGAGTGTCTGTGCCCTCACTGCACACACACACACACACACACACACACACACACACACACACACACACACACACAGAGACCTGGCTGCTGAAGGAAGAATGTCTGCCCTCACTGCACACACACACACACACACACAGACCTGGCTGCTGAAGGAAGAGTGTCTGTGCCCTCACTGCACACACACACACACACACACACACACAGACCTGGCTGCTGAAGGAAGAGTGTCTGTGCCCTCACTGCACACACACACACACACACACACACACACACACACACACACACAGAGACCTGGCTGCTGAAGGAAGAATGTCTGCCCTCACTGCACACACACACACACACACACACACACACAGACCTGGCTGCTGAAGGAAGAGTGTCTGTGCCCTCACTGCACACACACACACACACACACACACACACAGACCTGGCTGCTGAAGGAAGAGTGTCTGTGCCCTCACTGCACACACACACACACACACACACACACAGACCTGGCTGCTGAAGGAAGAGTGTCTGTGCCCTCACTGCACACACACACACACAGACCTGGCTGCTGAAGGAAGAGTGTCTGTGCCCTCACTGCACACACACACACACACACACACACACACACACACACACAGACCTGGCTGCTGAAGGAAGAGTGTCTGTGCCCTCACTGCACACACACACACACACACACACAGACCTGGCTGCTGAAGGAAGAGTGTCTGTGCCCTCACTGCACACACACACACACACACACACAGACCTGGCTGCTGAAGGAAGAGTGTCTGTGCCCTCACTGCACACACACACACACACACGCAGACCTGGCTGCTGAAGGAAGAGTGTCTGTGCCCTCACTGCACACACACACACACACACACACACACAGACCTGGCTGCTGAAGGAAGAGTGTCTGTGCCCTCACTGCACAGAGAATCAAGTGGAAACAGAGCTCCACTTTTTGACATGCTGCCCCCAATTATACAAACATTAGGGACACTTTCTATCACCTTTTCACATCCCTCCAGAAAGACTTCCATCAGAAATCAAATATGGACAAACTCCCACTCCTGCGAGGAGAAAGCCCAGCGAGCTCAAACCTGGCTGCCAGGTGTGTGAGGTCCTGTCACGACGAAAGAGCCTCCGGCAGGACAGAGCTACCAACTACGCCTAGAGACGTATAAATATTAGAAGATTTAACATTTTTATTGCTATGTTTATTTTCATGTAAAAATTGATTTTATTTTTTCACCATGCCAATAAAGCTATTTATAGATGGATAGATGGATGGATGGATAGATGGATAGATAGATAGATGGATAGATATTACTTGTGTCGTGATACAAAATTTGGGTCACAACACCCACTCATAACTAAGAGTATAAGTGGACTTCATGGGAAAAATAAAACGTTGCAAAAGTGTAGAATGTAGCGCGTGGTGACACACTGAAAGACTGTATCTAGTGTGTAATGTTGTCACTGTACTGGAGCAGTGGGCATGAGGAGTGCTGAGAGCCACTAACACACACACACACACACACACACACACACACAAATACACAACAAGCTCTGTCACTTGAACTACAGCCGTGTGTTAATCAACATCTCCACTCGCTTCCTCTCCCTTGTTACTCAGCGGCATTAGTCTCCCTTCACTCTTCCTCTAATTTGCTTTTCGTATGCACTCTTTTTTTCCTCACCCCCCCCCCCCCCCCCCCCCCCCCCCGCCCCCCCACGTCTCTGATTCATCTTGTTCCTCACAACCTGCTCTTTCCTGTTTTTCTTTTTATCAGCTCCTCTCCTCGATCTGTTTGTTCTGGCTGTGTCTTTAACTAGCACACATACCTGTCATTGAAGTATTGAGTGGAGGTGCAGATGGGTAAGGATCACTCATTCACACACACACACACACACACACACACGTCTTTATAAGCACTTATCAGGGCAGAAAATAGCTTGCTTTTCATTATCCAGTTTTCTTATTTTGATTCGGCTAAAAAAAGGTGGAATCTCTTCACTTTTCAATTAGTTACGTGTGACTTGGCACCACACAAAGTCCTTTTATATGAAATGCACATTTTCAATCCTTGCAAAGTTTGTATTTAAATAAACGGCTCCCTGTGTGTGCTGTGATGAGGTCTCTCACGGGGCCGCAGGTTACCTTCTCTTTCCGCCGGCACTAATATGCATGTTCGCTGGCAGACGTTTGTGGTGCAGATTATCCTCATTTACATTTGAACTCAGATTCAATTTAACTCATTTGTGATTCATTCTGCTGTACCTTCTTTCTTTGTTATTGCTTTGCTTTTCCCTCTGCCCTCTCACTAAAATAAATACAACAAAAATACAATTAAAGTTTTTCATTTTCTGAAGAAACTACGAAGCCAGTGCCAAAAAAGTCATTACCACAATGCTGAGGTTGTGGGTGGTTGCCTGGGTGTTGCTATGCAGTTGCTAAGGTGATCTGAGTGTTTTTTCATTTGTTGCTATGTGGTTGCTACAGTGTTGCTATGCAGTTGCTAAGATATTCTTAGGGTTTTCAGCACACATCTAGTGCAGTAAATGGTTGCTAGAATGTTCCTATGTGGTAGCTAGGGTGTTCTCGGCGGTTGCCAGGGTGTTGCTATGCAGTTGCTAAGATGTTCTGATTGTTTTCAAGTGTTGCTTTGAGGTGGTTAAGGTTTTCAGCACATTTTTAGTGCACCAAATGGTTGCTAGAATGTTGCTATGTGGTTTCTAGGGTGTTCTGAGTGTTTTTGTTTAATGTACTTCAATGTGGTTGCTAGGGTGCTCTGGGTAGATAACAGGGTGTTGCTATGCAGTTGCTAAGATGATTTGAGTGTTTTCAGCATGCTTCTTTGAGGTTGTTAGGGTTTTCAGCAGATTGCTATGTGGTAGCTAGGGTGTTATGGGCAGTTGCCAGGGTGTTGCTATGTTGTTGCTAAGTTGTTCTGCATGGATTTAGAACATTGCTATGCTAGGGTGTTTTGAGCATTTTTAGCACATTGCTGTATGGTTGCTAGTGTGTTCTAGGTGGTTTAGACTAAAGCTTTGCTAGGCGGTTGCTAGGGTGTTCTGAGTGTGTTTTTTTTTACGTTTTGCTATTTGGTAGCTAGGGTGTTCTGGGTGGTTGCCAGGGTGTTGCTATGCATCTGATAAGGTGTTCTGCATGGGTTTAACATTACTATGCTAGGGTGTTTGGGTTCCATTTCATTCGGTCACTCCGACGTACGTCTCCGTTCACTCCTTCAGGGAACAAGGGTTACCATACATAACCGAGACCTTTTCAGCACATTTTTAGTGCACTAAATGGCTGCTAGAATGTTCCTATGTGGTTGCCAGGGTGTTGCTATACGGCTGCTATGTTGTTCTGCATGGATTTAGGACATTGCCATGCTAGAGTGTTTTGAGCATTTTAGCGCGTTGCCGTGTGGTTGCTAGGGTTTTCCAGTTTATTGATTTATTTATTTGCATTTTTACATTGCTATGGGGTTGTTTTTGGAGTGTTTTTAATGTGCTGCTATGCAGTTGCATAGGTGTTCTGGTTGGATTAACATATTGCTAATAAAAGCTAATTCAAAATATGAATAAATACTATAGTATATACTAAAATAATACTGGTTGCTATGCAGTTGCTAGGGAGCGTTAAGTAGTTGCTCATTAGCCACACTCAAAAGAGCCCACCCCAATATGGCTTTTCTAACACTGCATATTTACCGCACTCAACCGTTGGGACTGACTATTTGCACTGTCATTTTGCAAGTAATGAAATCGAATCCATTTGTCCAGACAGTTAATGTAATCCATATCTGGTGGGGCTACATTGGTTGCCATAGAAATGTAAGCATTAGTATGATGCCAAAAGACGTAAGAGAATGTCTCTGGAGAAAAAGAGGACAAAAAATGGGAACGTTTGCGATCATCTCTGCTCATATGCATATTTATACATATGATGTGTCCGAACCCACTCACTCATTTACTATTCATGTGGTTTTCACTGTTAAGACTACAAACTAATAACAGTTTTGAGTCAGATACACCATAAAATTGGATTTGGTTTTGATTTGGGAATGCATGGAAGAAAACAACATTACTGTAGGTATTTCCGTTTCACCACTCCCACCTTGTTTAACAAAATCACTGCCTCTTGGTTCAATCCAGTTATGTTGAAAGTGTCCCCTGCCTCTCCGTCCACGATCGTAAAGTCCACCCGTGCATTTTCACCCAGGTCTGCATCTGTTGCCGAGAGACGACCGATCTCCACCCCGGCGACGGCCAACTCAGACACCGAAAACGACCACATACCTAAAGGAGACAGATCGAGAGGGTGAAGTAAATAATCAGGCAAAACATGCCGATAACCTAAAATTAGAACATCATCATTAATCTCATTAGATACGTAAGGCAAACCCCCTAAAGCATCGAACAGCTTTTCAAATCAATTTAACCCCTACCCAAAACTAGACTTCCATAAAAAGACACTGCAAAGGAGGCCATGGCTTGCCTTTTGTTCACATAGACATTTTTTCTGCAGTTTAATAACTGGCTCTACAGTCTTTGTATGCGGTGGCTATATCATGGGCCAAAAATAAAAGAAGAAAAAACCTGCCTGAGTCTGTTTAAACCTAATTAGAGACAGCAAATAACACAGGCAATCTACTGCATTCCATAACAGAATGAAAAGTGTTTCTCATCTCACACTAGAGACACACATCATATCTTATACCATGATCAATCTCAGTAATAAAAACAAATGTGTTGCCAAAGGGTTCTGAGTGGTTCTGAGTTAACTTTTATTTGGATATTAGGGTGTTTTGGGTGGTTGCTTACCGGATCAAGTCAAAAAAGTGATATTCTGATCCCAAAATATGGCTTGGGTGCCGCTACAATGTATGTCTGAATTTTTCCATCCGTTTTATCACCCACAAGGCAAAAGTCATGTGTCTGACTGCTTAAAAAAGTAACAGCACAACTCTCCTCAACAAGACATATGGGGTCATTTGCCCATAGCACAAACATATGAGTTATGCTCCTTACATTTTGTTTACTTAGTTTAGTTAGTTAATTGAATCAATCCCTAATTTTCAAATATGAGTAACAATATCTGTGATGTAAGCGCCATTAACAAAAGATAGATAGATGATAGACAGACAGACAGACAAAAAAAGCCAACAGAGCCAATAAATAGATAGATAGACAGACAGACAGACAGACAAAAAGGCTGATAGACAGACAGACAGACAGACAGACAGACAGACAGATAGATAGATAGATAGATAGATAGATAGATAGATAGATAGATAGATAGATAGATAGATAGATAGATAGATAGATAGATAGATAGATAGATAGATAGATAGATAGACAAAAAGGCCGATAGATAGATAGATAGATAGATAGATAGATAGATAGATAGATAGATAGATAGATAGATAGATAGATAGATAGATAGATAGATAGATAGATAGATAGATAGATAGATAGACAGACAAAAAGGCCGATAGATAGATAGACAGACAGACAGACAGACAGACAGACAGACAGACAGACAGATAGATAGATAGATAGATAGATAGATAGATAGATAGATAGATAGATAGATAGATAGATAGATAGATAGATAGATAGATAGATAGATAGATAGATAGATAGACGGACAAAAAAGCCAATAGAGCCGACAGACAGACAAAAAGGCCGATGGATGGATGGATGGATGGATGGATGGATGGATGGATGGATGGATGGATGGACGGATGGATAGACAGACAGACAGACAAAAAAAGCCAATAGAGCCGATAGACAGACAAAAAGGCCGATGGATGGATGGATGGATGGATAGATAAAGACCTGAGGATAATAACATTAAAGGGGATTTATAAAACCCCATAAGCAGAAGGTTTGAGGAAGATCACTCCAGTACTGCTACACAAACACTGAAATGATTAATTCCACAAATTCCAAACATGCTTTTGGAAAGAGAATTTCAAAGAGACAGGATGAAAAAGGTCCAAGAAGAGAGTGTGATAGAAATATAAAGCGGGACACTGATGATTCCTTGCTTCTTTTAAGAGCCAAATTTGCTCCAGAACAGAAAATGAATCATGCAAACAACAAAGGCTGAGACAGTGTGATTCACCAGAGGCAGTTTGTGCCAGCTAATAACTCCTAACATTCATTAAAGCTGAGTGCAGCCAAGAGAAGATGATCACAGAAACACACTGTGGGAATACAATATGGCTTCTTTGCACAGTGTATTATCACTGTGTATTATTCATAGGAGGAGAAAGGGATGAGGAGAGATTAGGGGAGAGATAGAAAGAACAAAAGAGGGAAAGGCAGTAGGAGAGCCGGGAAAAGGAGGCAGAGAGCAAAATACAGGCAGAAAGAGTGTATTCATGTAGGAGGGAGAGGGAGGAAGATGTATTGTTGGTCTCCAAGCTGTATCTTTCAGCTGTGATTTTACTGCGCACTGATGCAGAAAGCTCTGAACTTTAAATGAAATATTAAACACGCTGATTTTGAAGAGAGAATCCGTAGGGAAGGCGGATAGAAACCCCTGCACTCCACAGACAGACCGAAGCCCTCTGAAAGAAACGTAACACAGATTATCATTATCTCTGGAACGCTGATAATAGTCAAGAGCATCATCAGCACCGTAATCCACTTTATAATTATGATATGCACTATATACCGTAATCGTTTCTCAGAGGGCCAACAACAGTCAATCTTTGTAGCGTTCGCCATTAAAGATCATTGTTGAGTTTGGAATAAATATCACTAATAATTAGCTATTATACTGTTTGAGTATACTTTAGGGCATATCACTAGTCCCAAGGATGAGTTTTCATGATTTAATATTACACAATACTACTGTCTTTACTGTATTTTTGATCGAATAAATGCAGGTGAGCAGAAGAGACATTCAAAACTCTTGAACGGTGTAGTTTACAGGGTTTAAATTAAACTGTAAAATCCTGGACAAATCCTTTATCTGGTTAAGCCTAATTTCATAGATAGCACATTATGTACATGTTAAAAAGTTTAAGGTCTGTAAGATTTCTTTAATGTTTTTAAAGTCTCTTCTGTTCACCACAAAATCAAAATTGAGCAAAAACAGTAATATTGTAAAAAACTGTTTTCTATGTGAATATATTGCAAAATGTATTTACTGTATTCCAATTTTCAGCATCATTACTCCAGTCTTCAGTGTCACATGATCCTCCAGAATTCATTCTAATATGATGATTTGCTGCTCAAGAAGCATTTATTATTATTATCAATGTTGAAAACTGAAACTTTGAAACATTTTTTTCGGGATTCTTTAATGAATAGAAAGTTCAAAAGAACAACATTTATTTGAAATAGAAATATTTTCCTACAGTCTTTACTCTCACTTTTGATTTAGATTATTGTACATTTAAACACGTTATATAATGGATTTTATACTGTAAGATTAAAAATCTAGGCCTGGGACCAGGGTAAAACAATAAAATCGACATATAAAAGTTATTTGAAAGGCAGCAAAAATACATGATGAAGGTATGGTCAAGTTTCCAAGACAATCATTTTCATGTTAAAAAAACAAACATTGAAATCAGTTTTTTTTTTTTTTTTTTTAAATCAATCCCTGAGACATTTAAGTGCCTGAAGCGGAAGAAACACCCGCATATGACAAGTTTAAAGATTAAAGGCCAAACTACGATTTGCTTCTTGCTAGTCAGCAGTGGTATTAGAGGTCTGTTTTTCCAGAAGAGGCAGAAACAGAGCATTTTAAACACAAACATCTGCTAAAAGTGTATTCTGTCAAGTGTAGCTACACTACTCTAAAAGCTAACAAACACACAATAAAAAAACAGAAAACTCTAATTCTAAGTTCACGGGGTCAACATCTTTGTTGTTGTAAACAAAAATTCAGACTAACGAGGTGGAAAACGAGCGGCGCTCCGGAACCAAACCCGGCAATCCCAACAAACACAAGCATTACAATCTACTCTGTAAACTTCAGAAAGTTTAGACAAACCCAAAAAAGTATGCTGGGAATCACTCAAAAACTAGAAGGGAAAAACAGGTTTGTTGGCATCTGTATTTTTTAACAGGGAAGCATCAGATAAACAGGTTTACATGAATTTGACTGAAATATTTACACTTTCAGAAGCATAACGGTTCTTTATTGGCATCTATGATTTGATTAAGAACCTTTAATATCCCTGGAATCTTTCCATTCCAAAAAAGGTTCTTTATAATGAAAAAAAATCTTATATCACGATACGAGTAATTTTATTTCACGATAACGATATAGATCACGATATACTGTAGTTTTTTTTTTTTTTTTGTTGCTTTAAATAAGGTTTTTATGATATAACAATGTTTGATTCCATTGATATTGCATCATTCTTGTCACCATTTTCAATATCACAAAAAACTAATACTAGCCTAAGAAAAAAACCTCTCAAGCTTACTGAAAGTAAACAGTGATAAAGAAAGAGCAAAGAAAACAAAGACACAAATGAAATAGACCTACCTGAAAAACTTCAAGCACTAGAAAAAAGAAACACAATTGTTTTAAATTGTACTACATAAATAAGTAATCAAATGTATAAAAAAGCATTGCATAGTCTTCCCTGTGTAAATTAAATCTACATTAATTCATATTAAAGTTACAAAGTGATTTTCAATTGTTGTTTCTTGTTTGATTAACATTAATAATGACAGTAGGTTTATAAGGCTGCTGTCACTTTAAGACCGACTGTACGTATCCAATATACTTGTACGTTTTCTTTCTCAACTGTTTATGTTCACTTAAAGGGATACTCCACTTTTTTTGGAAATAGGCTCATTTTACAACTCCCCCAGAGTTAAACTGTCGAGTTTTACCGTTTTTGAATCCATTCAGCCGATCTCTGGTTCTGGCGGTACCACTTTTAGCATAGCTTAGCATACATCATTGAAGTGGACAAGACCATTAGCATTTCTAAAAAAAAAAATGACCAAAGAGTTTCGATATTTTTCCTATTTAAAACTTGACTCTTCTGTAGTTACATCGTGCACTAAGACCGACGGAAAATGTAAAGTTTAAACTTCACTGCCGTACCATGAGAGCAGCAGGCGTAATGATATGACGCAGCGCCTGAAAATAGGCCACCTTCCGTCAACACAACGGAACTATTTTCAGGCGCTGCGTCATATCATTACGCCTGCTGCTCTCATGGTACGGCAGTAAAGTTTCTTGATTATTACGCAGGAATGAGAGTATAGTTCCTAGCCATATCAGCCTAGAAAATCGCAACTTTACATTTTCCGTCGGT